AGCTACCACATTAGAAAAAAGTAAAATTGAACTGTAGCAACGAATGCGATCGACGTTGATAAATTTTAGATTCAAATGAAGTTCAAAAATCACAAATCAAAATTCATGTGCAGAACAGGATGCGCTGAGCACTAAATAAACAGGGAGATGAGCATTAATACTTCAAACTATATGAAAATTAAAAATACGACATGAGCTTTGAACATGGGGACATGTAAAGTGTCAGCTGCGTTGAACTCTAAATTCAAGTAAAGTAGAAATTATTCATTGCTGTCGTCAGGCATGAAAGGCATGAAAAGAGAGGATAGGCTTATTTATGCGCATAACTCTGAGCTGCGAACGAAAATAATTGTGAAATTTTATTTTCAAGAATTTCAGAAAAGTGAAAAAAGTTCAAAAAAGCACTATGCGTTCTGATCTAAATCTACGACTCAGCTTCCTTGCTATGATTCCATCTCAGCCTTTTCGTGAGCTGTCATCATTCTTTCGCATAGCTGTGTGCCGTTCTTCTCCATTTTTGCTAATTGAGGACTGCTCTTATCACTACGTTCTTTACCCTCTCTTCCTTCTTGTGCACTTTAACTCCATCCTTTGTTCTAGCCCTAGATAGTGCAACATAAAGTTGTCCATGTGAGAACACTTCCGTTCCAAGGGAGATGCCTACGCGAGTCAAACTCTGTCCTTGAGCCTTATTTATCGTCATCGCGAAGGATAAACGAACGGGAAATTGCGTCCTTCGTAGTCGGAAAGGAACTGCTGTGTCGTTATAGTTGTCTATGCGAGGAATCAAGGTAAATTTTCCTTTCCGATCTCCGGATGCGAACCGACATCCCAAGATAAAACGTCCGAAGTGCGTGACGATTAACCTCGTCCCATTGCATAGCCCATTTCGAACATTAAGATTTCTCAATAGCATGATTATTGAACCTTCTTTCATTCTCAGATTGTGTGGAGGAAGTCCAGCCGGTGTCATACTGTTCAGGAATTCCGGAGTGTATTCATTTGCTTGCACATTATCACTGATCACATCATCAGCACTCTTGTACTCATGAACTTGCCCAGGAAGCTTACTCAGTACTTCTTCATTAATTCGATCAACTTCAATATTGCGTGGAGCGAGTATCGCGCGCTCACTCAAGGTGTCGAAGTCGGTTAGCAAATCGCCGAAAACCTCATCAATGAGGTTACCGTTGGATACTATTTCAGAGGGAAGTTGGATCCGGTCCATTTCATCTTCTTTTGCCTCTCCATTTCCAACGCTTAGCAAAAAATCACACCATGAGGAGCCGGAATCTGCAGCTCTTATGTTCGTCGAAAGCGTATGCTTGCGGAATGATCTCCAAAGAAGACTGTTTTTCAAGCATGCGTCAGTCATGTCGCTTTCACTACCGCGCTCTATTATTGGAAGCACTTGCCGGAAGTCACCACCTAAGACAACTATTTTGCCGCCAAAAGGCTTGTCATTGCACATCAGATCCTGAAACAGACGATCGACTGCCTCAAGGGAGTAATTTGGAACCATGCTCACTTCATCCGAAATAATGACATCTGCTTCCTTGAGGGGAGTGGCTTCTTTAGCCTCACGACGTAAGGTACATTCCCGGTTTCCTCCTCTCACATTCAATTTGAAGGTAGAGACAGCTGTTCTTCCCTCGGGCAGCAAATTCGCGGCCACACCTGTCCATGCTACACATAAGACAGACCTGTGCTGACTCTTCAGTATGTGATACACGGTATTGTACAGATAAGTTTTTCCACTACCTCCAGGACCATCGACGAAGTGAAGCTTGGACCGACTGGAGTTGAAGGAGGCCAAAATGCTGTCTGCTATTGATTATTGTAAAGCATTCAGACATTGGTACATCGCTCGGCCTTTCTGCTCGTGAGAGGAGTAATCGGTCTGATCTGCCAACACTGGCCGATTCTGTGCAGGTGGTTTGACCGTTTCGGCCAGGTCGTAGCGCATAATTTGCAGTCTGTCGTAAACATCGAAATAAGCGAGCGCTTCTGCATCAGATGGAGTAGCTCCTCTGTGGATGAAGTCTTCAGCCATCTCGCTTTTGAAACGGTCATATAAATGCCTCGGATCATTGATTTCACAGAATGCAAGCAAGCAACTGAATAATGCACGCAACTCCGCAGGTATCTGAAATGCAGCAGCTTCTTCTAAGCAGCTTTCATAGTGCGAGTCGTCATGAAGTAAACCCAGAGCACGAACAGCATCCAGGAATGTTGGGTGCGCATACCCCTCAACAGTTCGGAGATCTTCGAAAGAGCGCATGTTTTTTCGATGAAGGAGCAGCATGCGTAGGCTAAACCTTTCAGGTTCGGTTGGAGGGACGATATGCATGCGACCAATTTGGCGATCACCTCTACCCCTTCTCTTCCACTTTCGTGTTGCTCGTACTAATGTGAAATGCTCGGGCAACTGGTGGTAGAAAAGATTTCGTGGATCAATCCCTGCATTTGATGATCCACTCTCGTTCTCCAAAACCTCAAACTCGTTGTTTAGTTTGAACCATGCCGTTAACATAGAATCTCTAGACGCCTCTCGGATTGCTGCTTCACGTTCTTCACCTGATTGAAATGTCACCGTTTGAAAATCAGGAAGGTGAACGGCAGGACGATAGACAGTATCGGATTTAAACTGACTGTCATACATAAAAATATGGTGCAGGGCCTCTGGCGAGCATACATAGCGAGCATCAAGATGAGCTCGAATCTCGTCGGAGCACTGTGGGTGATCCTGTTGCAGCAGTCGCAGTGATGCTCTGTCTGGTCCCTTGTAGACGTACTTGTATAAGTACTTGACTGCTTGCACATAACCACAGATTTCCAAGTTTATGTGTGCATTAAGCAGCAGCAACAGGTAGCGATTATAAGGCACTACGTCTCTGTTGTCAAAGGTTTGGTCTCTAGCCGTTATGCTACAACCGTCATTTGGTCTTTTGTACTTGGGATAGCCGTCCACTTCAATGTCAGTAGTTTCTCTGAAATCCTTGGGGTATCGCTTAGAGCATACTCCATTTACCATGCAGGAAGCAGTTGGGTTGTCTATACCACATCTTCGATGAATCATGTTCCTCGCGACTATGCTGTAAAGGCGGGCATTCTCAGATGCACTTGGAAGGTAAGCCTGAACAGCTGCATCAGCAGCCTCGCAAGTCCTCGGTTTTGCATCTGCAGTCATTATAAGCAGCATATGGCAATGGGGAAGACCTCTTTTTTGCCATTCTACGATCCCGACATAAGCAGCAACACAGCCCAAGATGTTTTTTTCAAAAAGGTGAGTTTGAAGGACGTCCAGCTTCCGTTTGAACACCCGTGTCACCAAATCTGGACGATCAGAAGCTGTCTGGCCAGGATGTAAGTTCTCAGTTATCTCTCTCCATTTTGGGTTGCACGTAAATGTAAGAAAGTAGTCGGGTTTTCCGTACCTTGCAACTATAGACATGGCATCTTGGTAAGACTGATGCATGGCGCGAGGACTGCCTGGAAACGATGATGGCAAATTAACTCGCCGTCCTGGTGGTCCGTCCACGTTATCGCTGGTCAAATGATCCACGAGTCCCCTATAACAGTCAATTCGCAGCTCTTTCTGGTGTGTACGCGTATAGTTAAGTCAATTTTGCTCAATTTTGACGTACGCATCGACCACAAATTGTTGCATGAGCTTTCCGGCGTGGTGAAGCGGGTTAAAAGATTGGCGTATGGCGAGCAAATATGAGTAGAACTCGCGTTGACTTATTCGCGTGCGAATACGACCGCTTGGATTTTTGGTCAAATCGACATGCCATCCTAATCCTCCCCTAGGAAATAACAGCGGGTAGGTTAGTGGGTCACAACGACCGTCGATGTCTGGTATTTTCTGCAGGTTTCCTCCTCTATGGTAAATAGCAAGAGAGCGCTTCGATGGGACATCACCATCTTCGCCAACGTAAACAACGGCGATTTCGTTTGCGGCTGGTACATTATAACGGCGACGGTCCAGGTTAGGAGAATCATCGAAGATAAGGCGAATTGTTGGTAATTGTTTGCCATCTTCACGGGCGCGTCGCTCTTCGTCTGCAGCTACATCTCCCATCATCTTGAGCGAAGCAGCATAACTGTTATTAGCATGTAACCATGAGGTTAACTGCTGCATTACAGTAGCATCACAACGTACATTCGCAGGATTCCCACTTCTTTCCGCTGCTGCGGTGTCTGTGTCCAGAATGTACACTTGTCCAAACTGTGGACGAACACCTTCCGGTGGCGTCAGAGGGCCTACATAGTGATAGATCTGGCCGTGAATTCTGTAGCAGTATGGCCCAGAACCACGAGGAGTATCTACTTGAGCACCCATTGAAGCCATGGCAAGGGCGCTGTTATAAAACCGGATGTGCTCGCGAAAATTTGTGCAGAGTTTGCTCGTTCCAGTGTAGAATGAACGTAGAAGTTCCGGGAAATTTTCGAACAAATCTAAGGAGATGTTGCCGAAATTACAGCAGATATTAAAGCATCCGTTTTTAGGTTTGGCCTCGCTTGAGAAAAAAGGGCACCACAGCGGTTGCAGCTGGTGTTCATAGATCCCATGTAGTTCTCTTCCGTGTCATGATTCGTCAAGGCTATACCAAGATTGCGCGGCGATCGCCGGCAGTGTACAGAGTTTCGTACAGAACTCAACTAAACATTTCACTTATCAATTTGATTTCACAGAGCACTATAATTGCGCATAAATCAGCATACCTGGGTCGGAGACAGCTCCGTGGATGTGCTTGGTAAGACAGTGAATGGAATATTTGAGTGATGTTCCACATGAGAGTGACTGACTGAAAAAAATAAAACTTGGCTCGCCATAATTTCGTATTCATCCATGCTTTCATGCTCACAGGGCGGTAGGCTTTGAGGAGGCAAAGCATTTAGGTTGTTCTCAATTGCTCCATTAAAATGTACTACTCTCAAAGCAGGATCAGGAGTGAGTAGTACGTATTCATCATGTACTGAAATTTAGAGTCCCTTTAGTCCACGACAGATAATTTTCTGCTTCCTACTCGATCTACCTGTATTGTTAGATCTTTCAAAGGTACGTAGGCAGACGTGGAAGGCAAAGGTCTGGAAGCACTCTCATCCAAATAAGGTACAGATGCGTTGTGTTGAAACTCGTCTTCGGAAGTATTGAGTCTCTGAACATTTATGCCCTTAAGAACGCCATGCATTACTCCTGATGCTCCTCTCGAGAACGTTATGGAGTCATGCTAGCAATGGTACCTGGCTTATCAAATCCTTAAAGTTTATCATTGATCGTTGGCCAGAAAATGCATCACGGGTGCCCGAGTGCTGCAGCGGATCAGCCTGAAATCTCCTTTCCCTTTCCCAAGTGCCTGCTTGCTATAAATCATACCTCAGGTGTTGCTTCTTGGGTAGAGAAGGCAACGAATGCATCATTACGCGCAACATCAGAAGGATTGCCCTTAACAACATTGCCTTACTTCGAAAAAAAAAACCCAGGAAATGTAAGCCAACCATAACATTTTCTTCCAGAACTTCTCTTGAGTTTGCACCAAATTCTTCTTGACTGCTATGATGTTGTTTGAGCAAGTTGTTGTTTTGTGCACGTTGTTTTCTCCTAACATCTGCCAATGAACGCAAGCGCAATGATCGCTGTTCTTCCGTTTCGGTTGATCTTCTTAATTTACGTCTTTCTGTATCATTCGCGAGGCGTTCCAGTCTCCGCTCTTCGGTCTCTTTCATTCTTCTCAACCTGGATCTTTCGGCCTGGGCCGCTAACCGCTTCTTACGCTTATCTTCAGGTTCATTACGTCTATTGAATGCCATTTGTTCAGCTTTCTTTCGCTGCCGCTCTTCCTGAAATCGACCTAATTTTTACGGCCTGTCTCCATTGGCTTTACTTTACAGATACCAACAAACATTCTCAATAACTATTCTCACCATGTCTAGTAGTGGCCGCTTCCGCAAACATCTCCCTGATAACGGTTGAAGCGGCAACTATAATACCTCGTAATCTACACCTTATTAGAGTCCTCAAGAAGGCTGCACACGATAATAGTACCTCAATTTCCTCCAGTGGTCCGTGAACACTTTCATTCGGTTGCCGTTGAGAGCAGGTTGGCTGTTCTTCTGATTGTGGTCGTACGCGAGACTCCAAATGGTGGGAAGGCCACTCAACAACGTTTGATTGGGTTGTTTTATACATGTCCGACTGTCTGCCACTGCTGACGCTTGGTTGCTTATATGATTGCAGTGCCTAAAACATAGTATATAATAGCTAAAATCACTCTGCAGCATTACTAACCTCATTCGAATCCATATGTCCTTTATAAAAGTATCGACTTGAATTCCTTGCTCTACCACACTTGACAAAGTCCGGCACGGAGCATGTAATGAAGTTGCCTAAAACTGCTAATTTCGATCATTGTATAGCGTTAAGATCTAGTCTATAGTCTAGGCAGGCTATGGAAATCGGTTCAATTTCGATATCTAGCAATCATAACAGGTGGTTTTGAGAATTGGAAGTGGAAATGGCATCATCGTATCATAACCGTAAGCTTTGATTTCCAAAAAACGCTCAGCAACTGTGAATTTTATGAAATTTTGCTTAAAAACAGCGTACATTTAGATTGCAGATGAGTGCCCAAAATCGAGAGCACTAATACAATAATTGTCATCTTGGACGTTTTTTCTTCAGAGATTCAAAATCACCGTCAACTTCTTCCACATGAGCAGTTTCGGATCGTAATAGTTTGAGCACTAAAGCGATAGCTCCTTTAGACAAACTCTTTTCATCTAACATTCGCACCATAATCTTTGGGTATTCACGGATATAATAAGAAACTGATATTTGAGTGAATAAATGATAACTGTGAAATGTTCTACTCAAAAAACGATCAGTTTTACGTTTGAAATAATTTGTGAGTAATCTAAAAAAAAGTTTTCCACTGCAACCGCATTAGAAGTAGAAAAAAGGTTACTCGTTCCTTTCTGATTCATGGAACTGTGCAACAACTGTAAATTTCATGTGTCCAGGAACATTAAGAACATCCAGATTCAGATGACACAATCCGATAGTGTGAGACAGCAGTTAGTAATTTTGCGAATCGTTTTATCCAGAAAACTAAAATAACCCATTTTTCGATCGATTTCATGGTGTTAAGCTAACGCGACTGAATTCTTGAACCCTGTTGGCGCAGAATGTACATATCATAATCTTTAGGTCGTTAAAATATGACCGGATAAAAGATGATCGTTTTGGAAATGTGGAATGATCTAATCAAAAAAGTCCTTTTTGTGAAAAAAGAGAATTCTGTGCGGTTACATCAGAAATGGAGTCGCCTACAAAAAAACTCAAAAATTTTCTCTTCGATTCTCGCAAAAGAAACTGCTAATCTGAAAAAGAATTTTATCGTCTCTTGTCATGAAACTTCGCATCAACTGTCGCCCTCTCAAATCTTTTCTGTCTGAGGCGTGAACTTCTCAAAAGAGACAGCATTAATATACAGGGTGTCCCAAAAAAATGTGAACACTGTTTGATCGTTAATAACTCCGTTGCTTTCATGTCTTTCGCCGAGCTTGAGGCACCATTCTGTAAAGCGAGGTTCAACTTAGATTTATAGTATGGAGCGAATCACCGATCAGTGTTCGTTACTGTAGGATTACGGTATGAACTTTGACAAGGATTTTAGGCCATTGTGGGCCATATTCTGCCCCGGAACAAAACCAATCAGCCCAAAAACTTTTATACTATGGTAGTGGAAGACGCTAATTTCGAATATGAAATTTCTATTTTACTGTGATGCTTCTTTCCAAGGTTATCCCATTTAAACCGTAATAACTGAATTTCTAGCATTTGTCAGGAATGTGACTACACCGTCAAAAAAGCTAAAAACACTCGTAAAAAGATGTCTAATGGAATCAGGGCGCACGAAATCCCTAGTACACGATTTTTCAGATTTTTTGAGCAAATTTTGTCAAATGGCATATTGCACAATAAATCCCATGCTAGAAGTTTATACCGTAATCCTACAGTAACGAACACTGATCGGTGATTCGCTCCATACTATAAATCTAAGTTGAACCTCGCTCTACAGAATGGTGCCTCATGCTCGGCGAAAGACATGAAAGCAACGAAGTTATTAACGATCAAACAGTGTTCACATTTTTTTGGGACACCCTGTATTGTTTATGTAGTACTTTTATTTTCAGTCTTCGAGAAAAATTGGTACTATTCCAGTATACCGACCCCAAAAATTAAAAATCACGGATTTCGCTCAAACTTGGTATAGGGGGCTATTCGATCCGCTGATGCCGAATATCATATCGATTCCGTGCAATAGCGCCATTTTTCGGGGGTTACGGTGGGTATACGGTAGGAGGTCAAAATCACAAAATTCTCTGAAACTTGGTGCAGGGGGGTTATTTGACATGCTGAACACGAATATGATATCCATTCGTTACGGTAGCACCTCATTCCGGGGTTACGGTGGGTATACTGTAGGAGGGTCTAATTCACTGCTTTCCACACCCACCGCCGCGCGCGATACACCCTGCGGCGGCTTTTGCCTGAGCAAAGCAGGGGGAGTAAATTTCCGACATGTGACTGAGATTTCAAGCCCTGAATCTCGATCTAGCGGTGGTATTGGTAATGTATACCCAACGTAACGTCGGAATGAGGCACTATCGTGACTAATAAACACCATAATCGTGATCAGCATGTCAAATAACCCTCCTACACGAAGTTTCAGCGGATATCGTGATTTTGACCCCTTACCGTATAACCACCATAACCCCGGAATGAGGAGTTACCGTAACGAATGAATATCGTATTCGTGTTCAGCATGTCGGATAACACCCTCTTACCGAGTTTCAGAGAATTTTGTGATTTTGACCCCCTACCGTATACCCACCGTAACCCCCGGAAAATGGCGCTATCGCACGGAATCGATATGATATTCGGCATCAGCGGGTCGAATAACCCCCCTATACCGAGTTTGAGCGAAATCCGAGATTTTTAATTTTTGGGGTCGGTATACTGGAATAGCGCCCACAAATGAAAGATTTCTTATAGAAATGAGATTTCATATGTATGGTGCGCTCTGGCTTGAATTTTATTGCTCTGAGAGCAATGTGAAAGTCACAAATAATCACAGGAACGATGAAGTACGAAAGGAAGATATCACAGGGCGATAGAAGATAGCTTATGTGCTTGTGAGAGATGGGTTTATCAACAAAAGAAATATGCCTTACCTGTCGTTGCACTTGAATATTGAATCCAACTTTGATAGCTGGAATAAAGCGAGTATTGTAGAAGCAGAGATGAGACTAATCGATCTCACCGTTTACAGTGTTGTGGTGGCTTTTGGCTGCTCTTGGCTGATGAGGAACCTTGATAAACAAAACCGAAGACAGACAGTCTAATGGCAAAGATCACTTGTAAAAAAAAAGGGCAGTGTTAAAGGCAGGTGAGGGGGGGGGGGGGTACATAGAGCATCATAGAGCATAGGGTAAACAAAGCAAAAGTGGCACGAACAGACCGACATTGACGTCAGATGGGGGTGCCTGCGCTTTATTGAAGAGTATGATAGGTATGTCTGGATGCACAAACACATGTTCATAAGGCTCCCGCCAGAGTGTCGGAGTTATGCCAGCGCTACGACAGCATTTCGATCGATACACGTGTATTTCGCTGGGGACGTCAGCTAGCCCCGCCTCAACAAAATACACGTGTATCGATCGAAGTGCTGGCGTAGCGCTGGCATAACTCCGGCACTCTGGCGGGAGCCTAACCAGGGTCAAGCAAGAAGTGTGGCACCACAGTCGCTGGTTGGGACCTCCCCCTTCTAATTGTTGTCTCAATAAGGCCTCCCTTCCCCCTTCCTCCCCTTGAACTATATCTAAGATAGCGCTACTTGAAGGCCCTGTCAAACATAACGACACAATCTATGAAAGTTTGAGCGAATCCTGAAGTTTTAGGATACTAGGCCATCTATGAAATGGTCATTTTCCAACATGATTAACTTTGTTTCAAAGATGAATTAGCTATCCGTTTCTGTACTCAAGACAAAGCACTACTCCTTCTTTGTCCATCTCAGAAATCCTGCTTCAAAAAGACTTCCAAACTGTGGAATTATTAGAAGCCAACCAGCTGTGGCAGCCACACCTTTTGAGGGGTTATGCCACCCCCATTAACTATATCAAAAAAACGTTTTTAGCGATCTATTTGTATGAAACATTAGCCTGTATCTCGTCTCCACAAGAGTGATTTGAGCCTGACTCGTCTTCTTAGCTCTGAGTAAATATTGAAAGCACAGCCATCAAAAGCGAAAAATGGGAAAAACGAGATTTTGGTTGGCTTCTAATTCCACAGTTTGGTGTCTTTTGCAACGAATTTTTAAGGTGGACAAAGAAGGAGTAGGGATTTGTCTTAAGTGCAAAAACGGGTAGCTAAAGCACATCTAAAGCAAAGTTAATCATGGAAAATAACCATTTCACTTAGGTAGCCTGGTATCTTAAAACCTTAGAATTCGCCCAAACTTTGTCTACAGGGGTTAATTGACGTGTTAATTATGGATATGATACTCGTTAAGCTTCGTGGCACCTTTTTATTATGCTGATGTAGACAATAACTCATGTGCTTGTATTTCGCATAATGAGATTACTTGACAAACTGCTTACGAATATCATGTTATCATTGCTTCAAGATTACCCAACTAACGACCCCTACCCTTTTGACTCCTTAATACGCCCCCCCCCCCCCCAGGTATAGCGCACCGCCCTGGGAGGGGGGGGGGCGTTGTATTGAGGAATCAAAGTCACGCTTGACCCTGGTAATAACCTCTGGCAGAAACCGATTCCCTTTTTTCCTCTTCTCCTTCCGCTTCTGTTCACATCAAGTGAACTACAGACCTTTATTCTAACAGTGGGCAGTCCTGCAAAGAAGAATGAGTATGCAAATCTTACGCAGAGGAAAATTCAAGGTGTGTGAATGCTTCACAGATCACCTGCACTCAGCAGAGCACAATGTGGCACACAAAAAAGTCAAAACCCGCTGCAAGCTCTATAGTTGAAGCCACTTCCCGCTAGCGACAAAGACACATTCTAGTATCTTGCCGTTCCATATTGAAACGTTCCTGCAGGCAAAAGGATAAAAAACATCGAAACGCTTTTGGAAATAGTTTGCATAAGATACGCAGGCACTATCTTTCCCTAATAAGGATGAAGTTTTGAAAACCATAACTCCAGGTATATGGCGAGGAAACGACTTATATTTGGCAACAACATTTTTACAATATCTTGATTTTTGCAGAAAATAACATCTCGAGTACTGCTGCTCTTAGATCAGGCGGAATGGCTCAAGTTCGAAGTTTCGAAGTATTGAGCTGAGATCGTTGGGATTATTCTTTACAGTCACTCTTGTACTTGCTCACAATTTGAGTATGCAGAAAAGTTCAAGTGCGCAGTTGTTATTCGCACGCGATACTCAACGCAATCTCTCATCTCAGGGAAACTCAAGAAAAATTCGGGCGTTCAAGCGAAGTGTTACGATAGTGTGTGGGCGTTTGACTATTTTTATGACTTTTTTTCAGGGTAATGGTGAATGGATAGTTGATGCGCTTACGGTTAACAGCACAAATGGACACGAAAATCATAACCCTAAGGTTGAACACTTTTCCAGCGCAAGCGCAGTTTAATTTTTCACTAATCAGGTAATATTCACATTTTATTTCCACCGTACTCCAACATTCTACGTTATTCTGATAATAATGCCATCGTTTGCGCTTACATTTCTGTGTGTGATTGGAATGTTTTGGTCCAGATTTTCGGTAGAGTTTATGGAGAAGGTAAGCTCCATATTTGTAAGTTGATTACCAAGGTTCATTAGAATTTCAGCTCGGGCTTGGATTTACAGTAATACTTGCAATGTGTTCAATCTTTCAAATGATGGAAAATTCTTTACCTAAGACTACACAGTTGCCTGCACTCTGTACGTCAAAAGTCTTAGCTATTATTTGTGAAACGCATAACTCAAATCACTGCAGCGGTATACATGATAGTGAACCTATTATTGGTGACTGCGTCAATATCGATTAATATGGCAGCCTCCAAGGCGTGTTCGTCGTCGAAGCATCGTATCTTCAAGAGCATAACAAATAAGTGAGTTTGGTCTTGTAAAAAGAAAATTTGATGAAATCACTTTGCAGCAGGGTTCTTTGCTTCAATATCAACTTGTGCACATTGTCTCGAGCCATTTGTTTGAGTCTGTTCCCATTGGCTGCTGTTGTTAATCTTCTGATTTTATTATTGTAAGCATGACAATCTTCTCATCAATGTTTTGATAGTTCACGTTCAACGTATGCGTAGATATTAGAATGATTGATAGGCAAGTATCATCGGCTCTCAGATTCTATAAAAGTCAAAGTTACTGGAATCTAAGCATCCTGACCACATTAACAGAAGTCAGCAATGCACCGCCGCTGAGCAAATCTGGAAGCCGATCATACTCTGAACGGTACAGTGCAGCTTTTCTCTTTTTTGTACTTCAAGCTGATTTTTCTCATGCTGCTTGGAAAATCCTCAAAATATTGAAGCTATTTCATAAACTTCGGTGTTTGGCTCATCGTCATAAATCTCAGTTGAATTTGGAGAACATTTGGTTCACATGCAAATAAAGCAAACTGTGTATTATCAATGCAGGTCCTGTGGGTCTTCTCCAACTAGACACTCAAAGAATTCAGAATGTTTCTCAAGCTTACTTGTGAAAAAGTGCGAAAACAAAGTACCAAACAGTAGAAAACCTCAAAGTAAGAACCCATTGTTCAATTATTATCAAGCCCTTATCTTGAAAGTCCTTTTATCTTGAAACCTGGGCATTTGCAAGACAACTTTAGTATTCGTTCTGTGCCGTACAGGTTGTTTTAGTGTACACGTTATTGCCTTACGTTTCGGCTACATGCCGTCATCAGAGGCGTGAATGGTGTCAGTCACAAGGATGTCCGCTCTTGACCGCCAAAAACCTCTTCCCACTTGCATATTCGATTCATCTAGTGTAGAAGAAGGAGGTTGGGCCATCACTTTCGCTCACCAGTATATTACCGATATTGCAGTTGCACCTCTTAGGCGAGCCCGCTCGACTGTGGTGACACAAACATGAGCAGTGCGTATGTCACATAACTGCTTATATACGCTCAGACAATCCATAGCTCGCAAAACGGAAGATTCGGCATTAGATCAGCAGTAATGGATAACTGTTCATTCTTGCAAGAACGAAGAATGAAGAACGAAATGAATGAATGAAGAATGGACGAATGAATGAAGAATGAACAGTTATCCATTACCGCTGATCTCATGCCGTATCTTCCGGTTTGCGAGCTATTTTCGTGACCATGTAAACTGTCCAGTTAACAACTTCGTCACGATCAAGCAAATTGTCCAACCTGTTAGCGAATCAAAAGAGTACAAATGACAAGATCGGGTCATTGCTCAGTCAAAAATTCAATGCTGATACATTATCCCAACGACTGACCACCATTCTTTCAGATCTAGCAACTTCTCCAAAAATACCTAGATACTTCTTTACAGAAAATTGTGGAAAGGATCGGAAAAGAATTGAACGAAGACATCTATGCGAGTTAACTGAGTTCCTGGAAAAATTTAGCACAATGAACTACATGCAAACGGATCAAGGCTCTTCCGATATCGCGATAGTACATCATACCCGGTACAGATGGTTTGGGGTCAAAATAAACTTTGTTTCTGGGGTAAAAACAAAGAGCATATGTTAAACATACTATAAGCAGAGTTGAGCGTGGGGTTAGGCGCGTCCGACCTCGGGAATCGTATTGAGGGTAAGACTGAGGGGGGGGGGTCGTAATTAAGAATCGAATTTGTTGATACTGCGAAGGTGAAGAAGAAATGTGCCATTCCGGTGGATATCGCGATCACGTGAAGCAATAACGGTCATAAACAGCATACTGATTGTTTCCACAGTGGAAGTTTCAGCCAAAATTCAAATCTTCATCTCTTTTACTTGACATATGGGGTCGACAAGGAAGCTTGCTGTGTGAAAAGGATATCATTTCCATAATCAGCATGTCAAATTCCTCCACGCGCTCTATAAACCATTACCTATTGCAGTTTCTAGGGTTTCGCAACGTCTAAAAAGCGTGATTTTCAAACGTGATCAACTTGGTTTTAGAAGTGAGAAAAGTCAGCTTTTGTATACTCATAACAAAGTAATGTTCTCTACAAGTCTATGCTACAAATCGGGTTTCATATTGCTTTCAAAGAGTGAAGTAAGAAGTGCTGCCAAAATTCCAGCCGGCGCGTTTCTCACGTTGAGTGCTCAAACTCCTCGGATTAGCACAAGGCCGAAACAAGTCGAACCAAGCTCAAACACTTACTGTGGAATCTTCGAGGGTTGAGCTACTCAGGCAACGGATAGGACCCCTCCGCCGGAGAAATGGCAGGGTCGCGGCGTTTCCCCAGCGGTGGGTCTGCCACTCGTCCGCCGGAGCCCTCCCATTTCTGCTCCGGAGACCTCCCATTTTCTGCTCCGGATACCTCCCATTTTCTGCTCCGGAGCCCTGCCATTTTCTGCTCCGCAAGTCTGCCGCGGCATACTGTAATTAGCCCTAATTAAGCTCCAAACCCCAATTATGCCTCTAAACCCCACCCAAATTAGCCGAATACGACCCCCCCCCGGGTAAGGGTTCAGCGCGACCCTCAACCCCGTTCTTTACCCCCTCCCTCTCACCCCTAGCGTTTGTGGATAGAAGATAGAAGAATGAAGAAACAAGACATTTATTTCAAATTAACTGCAAACAATCTCCTGCAAATTGCAAAACAAAACTTAGCAGCTACAAAACGGACAACAAAGCAGTAAAGCAGTAAAGCGATAAGGTACGTCTGGTTCTGACTATGAGCATTTTCAAAACGGCAAGAAACCTCTGAAAATCGGATGAAGAGCAAAGAATACCAAACACATGAACACACAAAAAATCCCCTACCGCTGAATATTGTGATAGTGAGATGAGGGTACGAGTTGGCAAGGTTCTGACAAACAGCCTGCTGATCCATAGGGAAACAATGGCTGTGCGAATTTGTAACTACTGGCAATTTCAACTGCACAGCTGGAGAAGACGCCATGTTTCCTTCGGTAGACGCCTTTTAAAAAAGGAAGACTCACTTGTAAAGAAATTGTCTCTTGAGAATCTCAATCATATGACTGCAGCATCTGTGACAACCGCGATATAAATTCGCACGGAAAATCTCGGCGAGAGAGTACACGACTGTATTATAGATTCCAACTGGTCATCGACTTAGAACAGTAGTCAAAACCAGGCGTAGAGGGATTGCGCAGCTGCTGTGACTGCACAAACTTCGCTAAAAATGTCTCGCTGAGGTTGTCCTTCAGAAAGGATGGAAATCAAGTGGTGCGCACTTGCATATGCTAAAACTGAGAATTCATAAAAGTACTCAAAGTTGAAGTTCAGTAATCATAATGAACCAATCACGATCAAAATTGGGATTTCTATGTTTTCGAGGTCCTCCATTTCATTAACAAAGTCTGTTTTGCGTAAAAGGCCAGGACACAATTACGAACAAACTTTAAACATCAGAATTTAGCGGTTTGAACTGGAGACGCCTGTTCTCAAACTTACATCAGTGGGATAAAACTAGAGACTTGCCTGTATTTGAACACGGTGCATGTACTCGATTACATGTTTTCCCTCTTCTGCGTTGCAAGGTCATGACCTCATAAAGGTTTCCTTCGAGCAGAATGCCGCAGGCACATTAAGGTTCTAACTTACATCTTGGCTACAAGCCATAAACCTGTTGGCGCGACCTTGTCAGTTACATATCCATACATGATTAGTGATGTCGTATAAAATGTCTATGTGTACTGGCATGAACTCGTTATCTAACCATTCACTTTGAACATATTACTGAACTTGAACTTAGATTTTGAAAAGTTGTTTGAAAAAAGTGCTTTCTTTGCTTTGTTTTGCGAACAATCATAGCTATGCAGAAGAACAACCTCGAACACATAGAAATCCCAATTTTGATCGTGATTGGTTCATTACGATTACTGAACTTCAACTTTGAGTACTTTTTTGAATTCTCAGTTTTAGCATATGCAAGTGCGCACCACTTGATTTCCATCCTTTCTGAAGGACAACCTCGGCGAGACATTTTTAGCGAAGTTTGTGCAGTCACAGCAGCTGCGCAATCCCTCTACGCCTGGTTTTGACTACTGTTCCAAGTCGATGACCAGTTGGGATCTATAATACAGTGAGAACACGAGCACGAGAGCTCGAAACCATTTCGCAGCAACAGCACTTGGCTGACTATAGCACTAAGACATTAACCAGTCTAGCAGGTGGCTCGATTGCGTGATATTCCGTACTACTTCAGATACTCTTAAATAAGACGATTCAGTTGAAAAACTCTTTCACCATCGAAGAGATATAACCAATTTCAAACAAGAAAGAGCATATTATGAAAGATAAACAAGAGGATAAGGACCATAAAAGGGGTGTGGTGCAAGAGAAACGATAGCTGGCAATAAGGAGCGCGCGGCGGAGGGGTCTGTCAATAGCCTATGCACGCTAGGCGCCGCCCATCCACGGCGGACGAGTTTACAATGAACTACAGTAGCTCGTACGAATCGCATTCGTCCACGTTATCTTTTCGAATCGCATTCGTCCACGTTATTCTAGAGAATCATTAATCAATTGGATCATAGTAATTCTATGATTATCTGATGCTTTGGATCTGGCTGATCTATGGAGATAGTCATGTCATGTATGAAACATGAATTCTGCCATAATGTGCCAGAAGAAGCACCTTAACTCCTGCTACAATGAATTATTCCCTACATTCTTGATAAATTGTTTATTACATTGTAATGAATGTTTAATACAAATGCATATTTACTGATATTGTAAAATAAAACTATACAAGAGTAGTCCTATGCTATGATATGATAAATATGGAGAGAAACAATCAATCACATATAAGAAGCAAAATTAAAGAGAAAGAATGAAGGAAGAATAAGGAAGAATAACTCAGAAAAGAAAATGATTGCTGCTGCGATGTACTATTGAAGACAAGGACTTAACTGATTAAGTCATGATGGTGTTATCTGGGTCAGATTCAACAATTTGGCCTAGTTTATGTGACCTACGGGAGCAGTATGCATCTTTATTCTGTTAAATGGCCCTAGGGAACCAAGAGGTCTTTGACAGTGATAAGCATGTCAATATAAAGAACCGGCAAATGACTAGACCGCACCAAAATACCGGAATGGTACCCTTTCAACTGAATTTATTGACTTATGCAGCCTTGCTGCAGCAAGCACAGCAGCAAACTTCACGGATTCTTCAGAATTATACCATTGGTAAGTATGGAACCATACAAATCTCGGCTTACATTACATAGTAGATGCACGACCTGACGCTCCGTCAGCTCCACCGCAGTCCTCAAGAAGGGAAGAGCAGCAGCAATCCAGAAGCGAAGAAGAGTCCCAGTCATCGAGAAGACAAGAAGAATCGCGGCCACCGAGAAGGCAACCTTATCGACGTTGTGGATTCAGCTTAGAAGCGCCAAAGTTCCCTGCACAAGTAGATCGAAGTCAACAAGGAAAACACCCGATCCTGCGCTATGCAATACCAGGTCACTCCTATGACAAAACAACTCTATTGAAGCATTTATTCAAGCATAAACATACTTAGGAAGTCCGTTGTGCTACACATTCCATCATCTTCGCACGAACTCCACCTATGAAGTATACCGATGTACGGGATGCAGAGGCATGGGAACAAACACAATGATAGCTGTAGGGGTTACTGTGAAAATGAAGATGTACATTAATATTAATGTCAAGGCGATCAACAACATATACTCCCACTTCTCCGATGGCGAAAGATTCCTGCAGTTCCAGACTCCAGACCTGCATATGTATTACTCAACCACAACCATCGAAGTAGCTAAACAATTTTGTGATACCCCTAGCAAATATGATTGTAGAAGGCGCAGAGGTTTGGGCTGTACGCACTTGTAGCGGACGGCGTGCACGATCTCCAGCCCGATGCAACAGCCAAGTGTGGACAGCTCTACACTGTGCACGGAGTATGCAACGACACCATGGATGCTCCCCTCCTGTATGCCATCACCACTACCAAGAATGAGAGGACGTACGAGTTGATATTCGCTCAACTGAAAGAAGAACTGCAAAGATCAGGCCGCTTGGATAGATTGCGCGTGGTATTGGATTTCGAAAGAGCTTCGATAGGTGCAGCTCGGAAAGTATTTCCCTTTGCTTCCGTCGAAGGATGCGGCTTTCATCTCGCCGTGGCATGGAATAGAAAAAAAGATGCGCTAGGAATAAGGAAGTATTTGCGAAGAAGATTCGTAAACCGTGACAAAAGCGTATGGATGTGGTGGAACGTCATCAAGGGGATCATGTTCTTGCCGCCTGCACTTCACAGAAGAGTCCCATCATTGTATCGGCCTGACTTACCAAGGAATCATGAAGCATATCAAAAATGCGAGGAGTTCTTGCGCTACCTGAAGTCTACATGGTATGAGGGACCTTTTAAGGGAATGTGGAATAAGTGGGGCATCAAGGATACGCGAACGACAAACGCAGCTGAAGCGTTTCACAGGTGTGATGGATGAATGGTGAAGTGAGGGAATGAGTACATGTTTTCAGGAAGTTAGGCACGCTGCTAGAATGCAAGTACCCCCTTATGTCAAGGCTGCTTGAAGAACTGAAGAGTTGCAATACTAACGCTAAAGGAGACTTTCTCAATATGGAAAGAGTGAGTTGCATTTGCAGCTTAAACTCAGCGAAACACTGAGTAGTGTTTCAGCGACCCACGGATGGAAGACGATTAAGGCGGAGGGATTTGAGAAGGCGTGAGAAGATACTCAAGATGATGGCGGCGTACAGAAGCAGATTCGAAAGAAGAAACACAATCAGAACGAGCACAAACCAGATCATGAAGTACTGCAGAAAGATGGCAACGTTTGTAACAAGCAAAACCAATTGAACAAACAATATAACAATATCTTTCTGCAGTAATTCATAAACATGATGTTGTTGTCACTCTTGTAAATAATCCCTATGCACAAGCACTTTTCTTAATAAAAGTATTCATTAACAACAACATCACTATACATAAGCATAGAAATACAAACAAACAAACAAAAAACAACCGTTTCGTTCCTACCCTTAGACGGTTACAATGTAAGGATAAGGAACAGCCCTCCCCGGAACTCATCAGTAAGGAGGGAGGGCTATAGAAATAAGAAATCATAAATAATAACAAAAAACATACATGCAAAGAAAATAAACACATCAAAAGAACTCACCATATCACTGAATGCTGGTGTCGGTCAGAGATAGTTCCTAAATGCAGATAATAACTCTACATACACGAATTGTATCAGATAATAATGAAAAAAGAACACAAGGAACAAAAAGAAATGACAATGAACGATAATAAACAAAAGAACAGCAATTACTCACCATTGTGGCAGGAATGGAGGCTGTTGGTGGATATCGATCCTAAAAATCAACAATATCGGCGTGATATGAACAAAAGGCGATATCACACACATATTCACGAACAACACGTCAAAAACCTACGCAAAAGAATCAAATTCTATTATAAAGGTAGAAAACATGTAAGGAAAGACAATTACGATGAAGAACATAAGAAAAAACAAAAAAACACAGCAAATATGAGAAAATAGTAAAATACTATGAATGTGGGCGTTGAATGAGACTGAAGTAGGCCCGCTCATTTTCGAAAATCTTCGTAGCAGCGTCCTTTAACACACGCAACGCTCAACCCATGCGTGCGTACGGGTTCTAGCGTGTGGGCGGGGCCTCGTGCGCGCTGTGGCGGCTGGCAACTACCAGCTGGCGCGGGCTATCGTTTCTCTTGCCCGCCACCCCCATAAAAGTGATTTCCAACATAAACATACCGTAGTATTCGCACTTGACACAAGTTTTTCCAACCAGCCATTTAAATAACCATTTTCACCAATAGATTTCTGAGCTTCAAATATTCTACCACAGCTGAGTAGACGTGTCATAGCTAAGGCCGCCTTTTGCTCCACGTATGAACCAACCTTAATGAAAAAGATTAAATAAACAGCGATGCATAGAACAGCAACATGAAAACATACATCATTTTCCCCTATTCTTTTTATCTGCTGCTATCGTTCTGCTGCACCAGCCGATGAATAGGCTTTGCTTCTTTTCATCCGCAATGAGACTGCCACGATTTTCTGGACTAACATTATCAATGATCACAGCAATAAGTTTGGAATAGTGTAGCCGCATCATCGTCATCACTGCTATGTCACGATCCTGATATAATCTTGCTTGTTATCAAGGACTACATTTCAACGTAAAAACTGCATACCAGATCGCTTTCGAGGTTTTCTCTCATCGAGTCGATGAAATCGAGTATGAGTGGACTCAGACTGCCCAAACTATCTATCATTGCGGAATCCAATAATCCATTAAATACAGTCACCTGATAAGGTATCGATATTGAGGGGTACGAAGAAGTTTAGATATACCTTCCAAATACCGCTAAATCCACTGCACCTAAAAAAGCAAGCTTTCTGACTGAAATGGGAAGAAAACTTCATTTGGACTTTACTCGAATTATATACTCTCGAAAATTGTTGTTGTTTCGAAAATCCAGAATTAATCACAAAAACTACTCCATCAGTAGTCAACGATGTCTCAGCAAGTCGAAAAGAGCCAAACACTGGAAGTGATTGAGTGCATCCGCACGAAAATTTGAAACATAAACCTGAAAACGAGGCACTTACAACAACATAAACGCCAACGCGACGAAGAGCAACGCGGAAAAGAAAAAACGGTAACAACAGCGGAGAAACAACAAAATCGAAAAAAACGACTAAAATATGAAGAAAGAGGGTAAACAGAGGACTCATCACCGTGGAGTTAGACGTTTGCTTGCTACGCGCCAAATCGATACGCAGCCTGCTCCGGATACGTCCCATTTTCTGCTCCGGAGACCTCCCATTTGTGCTCCGGACCCCTCCCATTTTCTGCGGCGCGGCTCTTCCAAATCTGGCGGACTCGCGCCGGAGAAATGGCGTACCTTTGCAGCAGGGCCGGAGAAGCGTCCCATTTGCCTGCCAGTGATGTCACCGCGACGGACCGCCCATTTGTCCCGCTCTCATTGGTCAACTGGGTCCGGCGCGACTCTGGCAGATTCGGACTGTCCGGCGGAGGGGCCCGGTCGATTGTCTGAGTAGCGAATCACATAAAACTTGGGTAGAAAAGCTTTTTCGGAAAATAAAGTTGATGGGGTCAGGCGCAACCTCTCAAAAGGTCAGGCCGCCTGAGTTTTTGGGGGGCTGCACCTGACCCTCTTAAGTTGCCTTCGAAATTCAAAAAGCGCCCCTTTCTTGATATGAGTGTTGAGCACAAAGCCTTTTCTTGCTAAATTGAAAATTTGAAGCCAAGCACTCCACTCCTGTGAAAATTATAGCTCTGAAAGGAGGACTATCCAGATTCAAAACTTGCCCTCAAGTTGCGTGTGGTTGTGCAATCGCAGAAAGTCGAGCCTACAGACTTTCAAAAAAATAGAAACCTGCAGTAAAGGCTGGTCCTCTTCAAAATATAACACCCTGAGGACTTGGAGGTGAAGTGGAGGGTCGTTTACGGGCTTTCACAGGGGAAGGGGGGTCGTTTTTGAAGTCGAATTTGAGCTATGGGTATACAATAATACTCCAAACTACATTATGTGAAAGTTTCAAAAACTTTTGTCTTGATGCCCGTTCCCGAATTATTCGTTTCCTAGAAAATCATCGAACTGACTGGGCTGGTTCGGAGCATAAATAATAAAAAGTTAAATTGAACGTTGTAAAGTATTGAAGAGTGCGAATCAAATCATTGCTCCTCCTCTTTTGCGGAGCCAAAAATGCTAGAGATAGACGCACTGATGGATATGGCGCCTGCCAAGGCCTCCTCCCTTGAAATAGCGACAATTGTTTGTTGTTGTTGTTTTGTTTCACTCTTGTCACTTTCTTACTAGTTTTATGTCGTGGGGACTGCTTGAGGATTTGCGAAGTCATGATTCTTCAAAAATCCTCCAAACAACGCATGGATGAATGTCAATGTACATCAATCTATATAAATATTGATGTATGTCAATCTATATCAAGCAGGACGACAAGCGATGAGGATCGCCGAACGTAGCGATATGTTAGAAATGTCCAAACATTTGAAACATGCTCGGGTATAATACATATACTGCAGATGTAAATTTGATTTAGCCTGATTCGGTTTTGACGACTTGGCCATGAAACGCCTAAAAGTGAAATCTTTAGGGGCAGTTGTTAATGAAGGAATGTTATCGTTGAGAGCATCGACAAGATTACTTTTAGAAGAAAGGGATTCGTCTCTCAATATATCAGGATGAATCCAGATGTATAAATGAAATGAGACGCACGTAAGCGAGATATCAGGATGAATCCAGATGTATAATTAAAATGAGACGCATCTAAGCGAAACAAGTACACAACAAATGAATTCAACCAAAAATCACTAAGGACAGCAGCATAGTAGTACAACTCTCCAAACTTTTTCGTAGGGGTAAGCAGTCGTTCTTAATTGGCCAAGCGCTTCGTGAAACTAACCTTTTTTCCCCAAGATGGCAGTAAAGCAATGGAGAGGAAATCAGTCGAATAAACAGATGACCCCAAAGATACCCACCGTACTTGATTTCTGGAGGAAGGTTTATCACGTGTATGCTCAGATAATCGCCGAGGCAAGCGAAGTGCAAACTCGCGCTCTCTCCAGGGATCGTCCAAATATTTTGGGGCGTGGCCAAACTTTCAGCACAGTACACAGTACTCTTCCTTCATGTTTCATGTTCTGCTAGCGGGCAGCATCAAATGTGGGTGGAGGACATTAGGTCGCCGAATTTGGAAGAGTCCCGCGCGGATTCCCTGCAGGAACGCATGTCCGCGCATATACAAGGGTGCGTATTTGTCGCAAATGACCGCGGGGACCGCCCTTTTTCGGCGACCTAATGTCCTCCACCCATCAAATGTCTGCAAGCGTATCGCAAAAACTAGCAATCTATTTTTCCGCTGCCCGCCTGCCCATAAATCGCATGCCCACCTACCCCGGCTATTCTCTGAATGGGTTAGAAGCTGTGAAAACATTTGACTGCTTTACATGATGCAGAACTGAGATATTCAAGATTGTGTCTAGATAACAACTCTTACCCTCTGCTCAATTGGACTAATCCATATTTTTTGCATCAAATGTCATTTGCAAATTCCGAAATGTTTCGAAGAAGAATCGAAACTATGCGCAGAGACATCCGATCAACACAAAGTAATACTAATTAGGAAGAGTGCGCAATAAAACGAAGGCAGCATTTGTTTCTTTTATTTATGCGAAGGAATTTTTGGAAAAATATTAGATGGGTGCAACAGTTTGTTCGCCAGTTTTCCAAAAAATCATAACTTGCTTTCGACTCGTTTCTTGAAATTATACTCATTTGAAAGAAAAATCCTTTCTCTTTACAGCTGTACCTTTACCATAAATTGTCATGTATATTTATGACTTTCTTGCCTTTTCTTTGACGTTTTTGGGCTTTTGTGAGAATGCTCAAAAATTGCGAAACTAAAGTAATACTCTCTATTTGCTTATAACTCTCGTTTTTTTCCGTTTTGGTTCATGGAAAAAGCAGTAGAGTAAAGAGCATAAATCCTCTATCAAACAGAAATCATTCCAGAATTTGTGATTTTGCTTGAAAAACGCCAATCTTGAGTTTCTTTGATTGCTCCTAACTCTCGAATTTTCTCGTGGTAATCCATGGTAGAGGTACTGTTGTAAAGAGCATGGTTTCCTCCTTTGAACACAAACAAAATTAAAACCATTGAGAAGAGGAAATTACCATCTTTTGAAAAATTGGCGAACGAAGTTTCGCATCCATCTAATACATTTTTTGCGTTTTTTATGTTCGCCTTTTCACGTTATAATAACAATGATTCTTGCTTTTGGCAATACTACAAAGCGCTTTACTTTCCCTTTTTACATTAGTAGAAAGGGAAAGTAATGCGATTTCTTTTAGATTTTTAGATTTTTAGATCTTTTTTCAAGTTCAAGAGTTTCTTGAACTTAAAAAAATCTACGTAAAACTTGTGAATCCACTTTTCAGACTCTATCGCGCATGACAACAATCTATCAGAGGTACATATCGCTGAAGAATCGATATGTGCAAGATCATTGTGGGATCGAACGTAATCATTCGGTGTACCGGTCAAGGTCGCTTTTCTTGCATCTTACTACTGACTACATTTTCCATCAGGCTCTCTTCCTATTATTTATATGGATTAAACCATCTAGTTATGAATCATCAAAAAAGTATAGCTTTTCCTCCTTTATTTCGTATCTCTAAAACTGTATAAGTACTTTCATGAAAGTAGAACTGAAAATCTCTACTTTTGGATTGCTGGCTCGGTTCACTTTGTGCTATCAAAATTCGTAGGTTACTTGAAATCGAAAAAATGCTCTCCCACTCCAATCTACGGCAGAAGGAACGTGTTTTAGAGTTTTCAAATCATAAAAGCCATTGTCTAGAGAACAAAGCAACTTGTTATTGCTTTCAATTCTCTGTATTTAGTGGATCTGTTTTAGTGCGCCTCTCAGCAAATGACTATATTAATGTAAGCTTTGCTGCTTAAAAGTTACTTTGTACCGTAATTCTTTTAAATAAAAAAAAACTTAATTACACTGATCATCTTTGAGTGTAATTGACTTTGTATGTTTCGAATTGCAGTGGAAAGGATATAGGATTCAATATGCCACTTGACAACTCTGCATCAAAATATCTCAACGCGTTTCAAGAAAAATTAGATCATCACATCTTGGTTTTTATATTTTTGCTCTAATTATCTCAAACAAAATTATGATTAACAACCTCGTAATGTTTGCAGTTTATACTTCATTCCGAATGGCCATCTTCGTATGACTACTGATCTTTGAACTCATCCCAACACTTATATTCACATCTTTCATCCTTTTCCACTCGTCTGTCAGCCTTACATTCTTTGCATATCTAAATAATCAACTTTCAAAACTTTACTTTAGAGCTGTATTTATTAACTTTACTTTACTGTATTTATCCAAACTCACACGATGAAACGAGTTGGTGTAATTGGCTATGGTCATTTAGGTGAGTTCTGATGTTTTTTGCGGTACTTGACGCTAAAATTTTGTGTGGCAACATCATATATTAAATCTCAAAAGATGCTTCCATCCAGTCACAGATACCATCAACTAAATGGAAAACCCGGCTCCGCTTGGCCCTGTCAATAATATTTTCGTAATTAGCATGCTTCCCCCCCCCCCCCTCGTGCCCTCCCAGAATCCTAGGTGGAACTTTGCAGCAAATCAATAAAATCGATAACAATCAATGACGGAAAGTAGCCTACGACAAAACAAGTCGCTTCAGCTCTATTTATACAGATTTATCTTGTAGTAGGACACTTCTCCGACTTATTCAGAGCATAATTAAGAAACAACTTTTTTGTTAAAGACTATTTACTGCATGCAGTTTGGTTTCAACTATTAAATACACTTCGCTTCTTAAACTAAGATGGCTTAGCTAAGCTATTTTCCAGTTGGCAACTCATAAGTTTTAGACTCTCGCCCAGTACCGTACTTTTTCAAACAGGCCAATCAGCGTTCTTGAGTACGATACTGGGCGAGAGCTTCAGAATTTTCGACCGCAAATGAAGATTCAAAAAGCATCTTGGTGAGGACTTGGTCAAGCCCTATTAATCACTGCTCGTATAAAAATTTTAGATATTCGAATTTGCATTGACACTGCCCAAATAAACAGACATTCTTAAGTCCTGTTTACGAGATAACGTTAATTTATCCCCTTGAAAGGCGGATACTTACAATGGAATTAAAAAAAATAATTTGATTGCCTTAAGCCTTTCATGATGTTCATTTTGAAATTTTAACTGAATGTGAAAATCTCGGTAATTTTCATTAGGGCAATTTCTCGTGACTGAGCTTGATCGATTGGAGGAATTCGAGGTCGTGCGAATATGGAATAGAACTGCAGATGAAAACAATGGCATACTGCCTTTGGATCAAATCGTTGAGACAAATCTCAGGTCAGGAGCAGAATGATGCAACCTCAAACAGTAATCGTAATCAAGCATTTCAGTGATCTCGATTTAGTCATCGAAGTGGCTCATCCCGCTTTGATACGAGAATATGCTGAAGTTATTTTGAACAACTGTGATTTATTTGTAAGTTCTTTTTTCAACACATTTTTGCTCCCAGAAATATTTTCTCAGATTGGCTCTCCCACCTGCTTGGCAGATGCTGCACTCTTAGAAAAGATACAGACGTTGGTGAAATCCAAAAAACGTCGAGTATTCGTTCCAGCTGGAGCATTTTGGGGAGGGAATGACATTCAGAAAATGGCCGACCAGGGTACTTTGAAAGTAAGCTGCTTTGATGAACATTCTAAGTTTACGCCCCCGCTACCAACTCTGATCCCATACCTTCGATAGTCAAGAGACAGAGGCTAGAAAGTGATAGTTGTTTGAGTTCCTGTCCCCCATAAAAAGTGAAGGTTGTTTCAGAAAAATAGACGAAAATTTAGAGATACAAATTAAATTAGAAAACTTAGAAAATTCATATAAAGCAGAGGTTAGCACATCACCAAATCTGAAACCTTAACTTGGTGGTTTCCTACGCAGAGTTTCGTCTCCAGGATTGCCGGTTAAATTGGGTGGCAACAACAACAAAGTTCTTTTCCAGTCAAAAAAAGCGCTGTCTAGCTGTGGCGTTAGTTGGGAGACCGAAAGAAGAAGAACTTGTCAACAACTGAATTGAACATGTTAAACATGTCTGTAAAGTTGTGTTGCACATCAACGCCAATCTGATTTTTGATGCGTCCTTTAAATTTTCACCCCGGCATAGTCGTTTCGTACGCTGCGACGTTGTCTGGATCAGGGCTCGGCACGAGGTGGCTAGATGAAAATGGAAAAAACGAAGTCCCCCTTGACTTTTGAGAATTTTTACGAAGTTCCCTTTGACCCTCAACCAAATTTCCTCTAAAAACCTGAAAAATTCCCCAAAATCCCCCCCCAAAAAACGAAACGTCGACTAAAAAAAAAGGTCGCCGTCGCCAATTTTCCGTGTCTCTTCGGTCACAAAAACGAAACCCCCTTTGCTTTTTGTCCCAAAAACAATATCCAGCTTGCTTGTAAGCCACCTCGTGCCGAGCCCTGGTCTGGATTCTTCCGCTCATCATCCTGAGCAAGTATCGTCCAAGCTGGAAAAAATTCGTTGCAAAAGCACAGAAAGAGAACAAGGTAAAGGAAAACGCACATTTTTGTATTTTTCACAAAAAAACCGGCATAAGCAAAGAAGTAAGCTCGGCGACGTTGTCTACATCATAGACAGAAACAAGACCTATCGAATACACAAGCAGGGCCCGGCACGCGTTGGTTTGGAGCTTTTTTGGAAACGAAGTCCCCCATGACTTTTCGAAAATTTACGAAGTCCCTCTCGACGTAAAAATCAATAGGGGAGTCCTTATTCAACCAAAATAACAATAAAAAAGGGAAAAAAGCGCATTTTGAGTTAGATAGTATAACAAAAAAGCAAAAAGAAAACATTTCGAATAGATTAAAGGCTCTGCCATTGGGTATAGCACCATTTTAGTGCTCGGAAATCGAAAACCTCCGAAGCCAACCAAATCTGTGGCCTCAACAGCCCGGCGATGCATTTTTCGCCACATAGTTTAAAGGACACCGCATGTGATTGGAGCGCGATATCTATCAACGCGCAGAAGTGCACTACTTTTGGCTCAAAAGAAGAGAGGAGAGGCAATGGTTTGATTCGCTCTCTTCACTATATAATAGATTTTTGAGCGTTTTAATCGTCCAAATCAAAAAGGTCCAAAACTTATGTGAACTCTCCGAAATTTATGCTCCGAACCAACCCAGTTGGTTCGATGGTTGGTCTAGAAACCAACAAATCCGGAACGGGTATTCAGACACATAAGTTTTGGGAACTTTTACATAACATAGTTTGGAATAATATTGTATACTCATAGCCCAAATTCGGAGCCATGTGATTGTTTGTGCGCTGTAAGCCATTTGTTTGTTTGAGTCTTGCATTTGATATTCGCGCGCTTGCGAAAGAACACGTTCAACTCGTGAAACCTGACACGTTCGTCGTGTTTTTTTGGCGCTTCCTCCAGGACCTCATAAAAACGATGTCCCCGTTGCTTCTAACTCCAAAAACGAAGTCCAGTTTGACCCCAAACCATCGGTGCCCGACCCTGTACACAAGAAAACCGAGTGAAAAAAAATTAAACTGAAGAAAAAACAGGAGGTTTTCGAAAACGCCGTTTTTCGAGGATTTCTCGTTTAAATCCTAAAAAGAAGTACCGCGACGTTGTCAGCGTGAAAATAGAGATCAGGAGCTTTAATATGATGTATAGATTATCGAAATTGGGCTCCGAACAACGAAGAAAAGGGTACCAGAGCCAAATGCCCCGCGCCCCGCATTTGAGGTAGCGAGGTAGCGCGCAGCGCGCGGAGACGCAGACGAGCAGCGGAGACAGACCAGAGCCGACGGGGCATTTGGCTCTGGTCGTGGATCTTCGCAGGGTCTCAACGAAACCCTGCAACATTATATATCGTTGTGATCCTCATGAGACGGCCAGGAGCACTGACAACGTCGCGGGTCTTGAAAATCACTCCATAACGAGATAGACCAGCATTTATATGGCGACTCTTTGCGCAAGATTTGAGCGCAGTTTTTCGTTTTTATTGAACTCTAGCGGCTATAATGAACTTCAAACATTCAACCGCAGTTCAGAGAAAGGTTAATTGAGAAAAAATTTGCCCTAGATTTTGATTGAATTTTCAAATAAAAACCTTCTTCTCAACAAGAAAAGGCCATAAAAACGCAACCCTTCGGTTTTTTGAGCTTCTTTTGAATGTCACTGCTATATTTGCCTTATTTAAATTCATCCCTATACGGTTATGTCATTAGTTATGTCACAATTTCCGGGGCTTTGCCCCGGATGACTTCTGTACTTCTCCCCAGGTGAAGGTTGTGTTCTATCATGACGCTCAAAGTGAAGGTTACCAGAGTACATGGCTCTATGTATCGAAGGTATGGAGACAGCAAAAATAAATCATTATCACAGAAGTTCTGCAATAAAGCAGTCGTAAACAATCCACAATCTCATGTATTAAATGCTTTTTAAATTTTTTATTGAAGTATTTGTACTGTCTTTTTTGATAGCAAGATTATCTTCGATCAATATATCGACTGAAAATGAAAGGAAGATATATTGCAGGCTCTTATCATAACAATGACAAAACACCCATCGTCATTCAAGCTTGAGTCACCCCTCAAAGAAGTCAACGAAAGGGCAAAGTTAGAATCTGAGAAAGAGACGATCCTGTTTGAAGGTAGGTCCACTTTATAAGTATGGCTATTTTAGTTACTTTCACAATCTTCGCGAGCAGAACTAAAAGAATATTCTTAGGTCCCGTTCGGAAACTTTGCCCACTAGCGCCGAATAATGTCAACACAATGGCTGGAGCAGCCATTGCTGCTCATAATTTGGGCTTTGATGGAGTTACTGCTAGACTCGTTAGCGATCCAAAGTGAGTAAATTCATCATCCTCATAAGATTTCTGATTTGAATTTTTTTTGATTTGCTGCATTTATTGTCTGATTTTTTATTTAGAAAGCAGGTTTCATTTGCACACTAACCAAAGTTTTCTGAAAGTTCTGAACTCTTCAAAGATTTCCGTACCTATTTCCACTTGATGCGCATATAACAGCATTCAAAAATTTCCGGATATTCCATAATTTCTCCTTGTTTTGAGCGTCAGCAGCAGAAACTGCCATGGGAGAGAAGTTGCCGAAGTAGATTATGAATTAGAAGATAAAAAGCATAAGGAAGGGTAGACAACGAATTCAAAGAAAGAAAAATTTGAAAATCTTTACAGCTGTCAAACTCGCCGGCTATATTAGTTTTAAACTTTTACCACGCCGGTGCAGATTTGAGATCTCCAAAAAATCTAAAATTAACTAAAACAAAATAAAAAATGTATCAGAAATTTGCTGACCTAATCACTATGGCTTATTATTGATTATCAACGCACCAAATGTTTCGTAAATTTTTTATATCGTTTTTTTCTCAGATTCAAATCTTATAAAACAACAGAACCATAAACATCTTTCTATGAAACGTATTTCAGAATGACTGACTGGCACATAGTAGAAGTTGAAGCAGTTGGCCCTGATGGATTTACCGTAACCACAGTTAGGAAGAACCCGGCGAAACCTGGAGCTGTTACTGGTCAGCTGACTTATTACTCATTCCTCTCAAGTATCAAAGGTAAGTCAATCATAAGCACTCGATTTTTTGAATGCATGTGCTACTCTCAAATATTCAATGCTTTTTCTTTCAGAATCTATTCACAAACCAGTTGGTGTGCAAATATGTTGATGAAGTTTGTGAACTGGAAAAAACGTATATTATTGTTAGGATCTGTACCGGAAGTACGAGAATAATTTGGTCATAAATATAACAGAAAATGTTTTCTGCTTTCAGTCCTACAAGGTAATCCAGCGTAACAATTTTTTCCCGCAAAAAATTAGCCAATTTTATTTTCTTTTACAAGATTTGCGAGGGAGCGTCAAGAATTAAATTCCAGTTGCGAGGTTCTCCAGGCTCATTGACCAGTTTATTTCAAAATTTCTTTGCATATCACATCTTACAAATTAGTAAAACAAATTCATTGATAAAGCATTTGACCACAAATCTCAATATCTTCAAGCTCTGAGAGCTTCAATTGGAAGAAGTTTCTGGAGTCCGAGGTGAGCGAACTTTCTGAACGCTTCCGGATCCTAGAAAAGTTGTTAGTTGCAAGCATTCTTACAGCTCAGGAAAAAACCATGAAAGTTACCTCAGCTAAGTCCTGCTTCGGTAGGCTCTTGATGAACTCATAAAATTGCTTCAGGCGATCCTCATCTGAAGGTAAGATTACTATCGTAAAAAATAATGCTAAAGGCGGGAGCTATGAAAAATGCTTACTATCCTTCCATGCGGCTGTCTGCTCTGGGAATTGCTCCTCAAGGCTCTTCCAAGTCTCCTCCGAGAACCCCTGAAGGGAAATTCGAGTTTAATCTCCGCTTAAAAGCCACTTTGGTTGACTTACATGAACCTCCTCCATTAGTTGAGGGATTAGCTCAATCATCTGCTTGAAGAAGGCTTTCTTATCTCCGCTATATTGCTGCACATTCGTGAACCATGTCTTCTCCCACTGGAAGTGGCGGGTAAAGTTAGTGATCCCAACAAGTGCCTTTCTCCCTTTCCTCTCCTCCCTCGCTCCAAAATTGCTCTCCCCCTCGAAGTATGGTAGCTTACCTTTGCCAGGAATTCCTGAGCTTGTGGTGTGACCTGCTGCATACGTTTAGTGTATTCGTCTTGAATAATTCTAGCCTTCTTTCCTACAGCTGGTGCTTCCTAAACAGATTTGATAAGTGATCTGCTCAGGACCTATAACGAAGTACAAAACAAGTACCTTTTCGACCAATTTGACGAGGTCCTCAGAGTTGTTGATCTCATCCATTTTGTATTCCCCTTTGTCGAGTTTGTTCACAAAATTGACAAATTGCTCTTTTTCCTCATCAGTTGCTGTGTCAATCTGCTCCATCACATAGCTGGGAATGTATTCTGGAAGATTCCATATCTGTCTTAATTGGGGGGAGACATTTAGTTAACTCTGTCGATTAAATTTTTTGTGTAATTCCAATACTTTCTTTGTGTAAAATTCGCATCATCACTATGTGCAGTCATTGATCGCAGAGTTCTTTTACGTGCGCTACGCACCGCAGATGTCCTTGCGCGGAGCACGCGATCGATCGATAAAGATGCGAATACGCGCTGGCAAGGCGGAATCGCATGGAAACACATGGACTGACACAGAACATAATCTTTTGCGAGTCACTTTTCTTCTTCTAGCGTAAGTTTTGCAACAACACTGTGTACAGTGTGTTTCCGAAGAACCCCTTTTGCATGCTGCTACACATTCGCAGCGCAAAATCCTTGCGCGGTGACCTGCGATCGATGAATTTGACTGCAGGAATACGTCTGCGAACATCGCACACGGCACTGGCGAGGCAAACTGTGCCGATCCAATAAGGGCACTTTGATTGAGATGGACTTTAAAAATACCGGATTAGGTGCACAATGTGCAATTATGTCATATGCATGGTAATCGATCGATATCAGCTTACTCGGGAATTTCTTCACTCTCTCGATCGCCTTGTCTAGCATGTCCACTGTGAGTTTGAACTCATGCGGGAAGGCCGACGCTACTACCAGGCAGACGCTAAGCAGCACGAAGTTCATCTTGAATCTAAACTAGAAGTCGAGGTATTTGATGTTGTTGAAGAAGTGTCGGACACGGTGGGAGTCGAGGGAAATTCAACAAAAATGCATTATATGTGCAGTCCTACACAATAACAGAGCAATGTGCAATGACTATGTATTTGAAAAAAGTGGAGGGATAGCAGTATGGCCGAAAACCGGATATTGACATTGAGTCAGAGTCAGAGTTCAGGATGGAATTTGTGGATGCCAAAATTATGACGGCCATTTTCTAGTGCATGAAAACGTCTTGAATGGAACTTTAGCGTTTTGTGTGACAAACCTTCAGCTAAGTGACAACTGCACAAAGCTTTCAGTTCATGATAAAGTAGCAGCTGCTTTTTACGCACCGCCAAGAGTATTGCGGAGCAATCAGCAGATAGATATACTACAGGTATGTATTATTGCAGAGTAGGAATGTGTTTATAATTTTGAATTTGTTATGAGTGTATGTATTCGGGTGGAGGCCTATATGTCGCCGAATATGGGAGGGTTCCACGCGGATTTCTTGTATGAACGCAAAGGTGCGTATTTGCTGCAAATGATCGCGGGGACCGCCCCTTTTCCGCGACATGTAGTCCTCTACCCTATGTATTCATGATACCCATTTCAAAATGTTCATTGTTCTTGTTCTTCCGATTGGATAAAAGTATTTGCGGCACTTATTGGGCCTCAGTCGAACGAAGGACATTTAGGCACGCTGAACCGCCAAAAACGACGCTTGAGGCTTTGCAAAGCCAGCCAAAATTCAAGAACTTTTAACAAGTAGTTAATATTTGAGGACCTAGTTTTGATTTGAAGCATAGTTTGTGAACTATGCTGTTTGCAGTATATTTGCTTTACTTTACTTCATGCACACAAAATTTGCTAAAGTGACATCAGAAGCTGCAGTGAAGAAGTTTTTCCTCAACTGTCCAGTTCGATGAGGGTAACGTAGCACATTTGAATATACGACAGTCTGTTCATAAGTATACAATAGAAAAGTACAATTCCAGCAAACTGGGTTTCTTCCAAAACAGTTAGCGCTGGAGCTACAGTCCCCAACTTTAAACATAGATGATTAATTTGCACACCAGTCTGCAAAGTGTTCGCTGTTGCACAAGCACACAACTGATTAGTCATCTTAATTTTTGTAAACGACCGCACACGGCTGTACAAATAGCCGTGCTTCTTGCGTGAAGAAGGATAACTTCTAGTTATGTGTATTCAAACTAGTACATTCACGAATCTCTTTCGAAAAGTGATATATATTAATCTACCTGCACAAGGCAAAGTCAGAGAAAGTGTCAAGCCTCTTTAAGACATAATAACAAAAGCTAAAATGTTTTGATTCTTTATGACTCAGTGTTGTACTGCAACAGCACAAAGGTGTAAATTATAATCATTTTTAAAAAATTGGATAAGGTCTTCTGCAATGGGTGGAGCGTGGGTGTGTAAGGTCAAACACTATTTCTTGCAGTGAGTGAAATCACTTCAAATTTTGCCGGTTGAAGTTGAGTTACCAATGCAGGCAATGCAAAAAGCGCGCCAAAAAGTTTCGTTATAATTTTAAATCATAAAAAGACGCCATAAGCCATAAATGCAACGAGCGCTGCAGGGCATGAAAATATATATAGGGGCCTGCAAAATCGCGAGAGTCGGACGTGCGTACGGCCATTGCGCCGCGCACGTCTGATGTTACTAAGGCAGGTGCCAGATTTATCCGCTTCAACCGGTTCGTTCGGTTCATGGGTTAAATCACTACACTGTCCAACAGAAAAGGTGGTGAACCGAATGAACCTGTTGAACAGAATAAGTTTGGCACCTACATGAGTCGTCGAACGCGCATCTGACGTGCGCGGCGCAATGGCCGTACGCGCGTCCGACTCTCGCGATCCTGCAGGCCCGTATATTGTGTGAAAAAACAGTGTGTAATAAAGGACGAAATAAGAGGAAAGATCATGCAACGATGTATAGATGGCTACTTGTGTATATGCTGTCTTCACAATGGGATGAAGTACAAATAGTGTTAAAATATATCCATTGTTGAATTTAAGCAACATAATGACTGCTGAGTTTAGAAATGCTTAAAAAAGGAACTGTTATGTCCATACTGTTTTATCTGCACTTATATACAAGTCCCACATTGTTCTTGCCCTGTTAGTGGGCGGACAATGGATTAACCGCACAATAATTAACAAGCGGATTTCAGAAGTATGCAAACCCGAGATTAACGGTAATCTGTCCGCTTCAACCGATGAACTGGCATTATAGCCAATTAAGAGGAGAACGTACGTGACTGGCGAGGTAGGGACTATATGTGTTACATGGTTTTTATGTATTTGTTATTCATATATCACTATTTGCAAGTATGTTGTTTCTAATTTAAACGGAAATAAGACTTAACGAATGGCACAAAAACTAGTATATTCTAAGTACCTGTCCGACAATAAGATAGATCACGTTCATACATAAGGGTGATCTGATGGAAAATAATGCGAGGCTCAAAAAACTAATTGCAGCTTTTTGTAGAGGAAATATTGATTAAATGCTCAAATCTGATAGATTTCAGAAGTTTAATGAAACAGTAGACTTTAACACGTTGACGACCTTGTGTATCCGCACGTATGCACGCCCTGACTCCCGTGTAGCATTTTCGTGCATCCGCGCATATGCACGCTAGTTTTTCAGGTGCAAACGAAAAGTTTCAAGGTAACTTCTATACAGTAATACTAATAGTGGCCTGATTGTCTTACAGAACACAGGGCATCGCGGCAGCTGTTCACAAGTTTTGGCCGCAAAAGGCGGCGTGGCGTTATGGAGCAAAGCTACGCCGCATTCGCTTGCGGTATATCCTGAGGGCCCTTTGCGTTGTATCGCTCCTAATTGCACCCGCAGAGGAGCTAGCGTTACCCAGCGGATCGAGTCATTCTCGAAATTCTTCTTTTGTAAAGAGACCAGAATGCGGAAGTTAAACGAATTTTGAGGGTGAAAAAATAGATTCTGAGGAAAAAATGTTTGAAATAAAGGCTTGGAAAGTCAGTAATGAAATTTCTTGTCCCTTTTCTCTACTAATTCTCTTGTTACACTTGAAATCCGTCTTTTATTTTCATCGAGATTCAGCCTTTGCATTCGTAAAATCCATCTATTTTTCAATTTTAAATATCTCTATTGCATTCATGCAGTTTGCACATCTTCTCAAGACGCAGCAATAGGAAATGGCTCAGTTCGTTGTCAGGAGCGGTGTACTCCTGCGGCTGCAATTAGAGGCGACGCAACGCAACTGGCCCTCAGCATATACCGCAGGGGAATGCGGCGCTGCTTTGCTCCATAACGCCTGCCCCCCCCCGCAAAATTGGGTAATCAGTACGTTTTTGATGTAGTCAGTACATGCTAATTACGTTTTCTCGAGAAGGTGAGAACTCTGTATAGCTGTTTTGAAATCAAACAAAGATGAATCAGGCAAAAAACATCTGGTTTTACAACGCTTTTCTCGAAGAGCGATTCCTCAGATATAGCCATTGCATGGATTATTGGAGGGAAAATCGATGCAAAAACCTTGATTTGTGTAAGTCCTGGTAAGGCTCTGTGATATATCTGTATGTCTGAACAAAGTTCGCATGTTTTATTAATAAGTGACAAAAAGACTCCCACATAATGTTTTCGTGCATCCGCGCGTATGCACGGGCAAATGCGCCAAGGACGTTAGTGGGACTTTCGCCCAAAATGGAGCGGTCGTCAACGTGTTAAGCAGTACCTGCGCAGTAGAACATGAAGCTACGCAAAGTGTTAGCGCTGTCTTCTTCTGATAGATCTTTTCACTCTTCATGCACTTATTTGTGTGTTCCTTATTTTTTAACTTCTGAATTATGTGTTTTTCGCCTTAACAAGCTCGAATTGGAGATGCTTTGCACATAGTTTAAAAGAACTCAAAGAGCTCTTCGCATTACCTGTCGCATGCTCAGTGACTTTGCAGTATAGCAGACCTTTGGAGAACATTTCTTGAGATATAGCACCGACAAATTTCAATTTGAAATTTATTTCTTGCATCCAAATGTTTATTGGGTAGTGTCATTTGATCTCTTTTTCCAGTAATACTCTGTCCAATGATCACAATGAACGACTCAAAGGTAGCAGTATTTCGACTTTGACAAGAAGGAAGAAAGCAAAGCGACCTCGCTTGTGACTTTCACCTTGAAAGATAGCCAGTCTACAAAGCAAGGTATGACGCGTGAAAGCAAAGGACAAAATGGTTTTAAAAACATCTTGTCTTAGCTGCTCACCTACAGAAGTTTGGGGATATAGAGAGCATAGGCAACTGCAACAAACATGCGTTTAGTCTTCTACCAGTTATGGGGTATTTTAAAGTAAAACTTGTAGCCTTTAAAATCCTTCTGCAAGACTTGTCAGCTATTTAACAAGTTTCGAACCGATGCTGCACATGGTGCCGTACGACTTTATGGTGGTGTTTTCATGTTCCAAAGTAGTTACATACTTCAAACATCTCAACTTGAGCCCAGTACTTTCAAGGTAACTTTATGGAGCCATACCGCCGCTGCCGGCAATATAGGTAGTTTTTTTAACCGTTCGACATTGAGATCTCGGTCCTATCTTCCAAGTTACCAGTTTCCTCTCAGAAATTCATGCGGAACTTTGGGTCACTTTGTTGACAAAGGAGCGAAAGGTATGCTTTTCCGCGTACTCGTGTTCGAAACATATTCTCAGACAATTATTACGAGCGTCCGCTACCCTTAACAGTGCGTTTTAGTGGTGCGCGTGCGTTGAATTTTTATAGTGACCATCCGCGCCTTTGATTCATTTGCTTGGCGATCCACTGCTCAATGTTTTTGCTAGCGAAGGGCGGGTAATTGTTCTACCGGAACGCCCGCGGCCTGGACGGGGGCCACTCGGGCGGCTACGGGCCTTATTGAAAGCACTGCATAATTGGCTTTCGGACAAACCCCGGGCCTTAATTTACTTAGTTTCTGCACCGGGCAAGCCTCGGCCCTTATCGGACACTTCCCGTATCGTATCTCGGTCAAGCCGCAACCCTTGATCGCCGTGCACATCATTTTCGGACCGGCCCCCGCCCTTCTGGGCGAAGGCCCAACAGAATCATTCTGACGAGCCCCGGGCCTTGCCAGATCCCACAATTTACACGCTGTAAGTAAAAACTTAACTCGCGTGAGATACGCCGCGCTGATAGAAATACCTTCAACGTTTAGGTGGCTGCTTATCGCTCCCAGTATGTGGCTAGTAAAGATGATCTGCTGAGGTGTCTCTCTTCTCTTGGGGTTACTTGAACTGGTTGGGCTTTACGACGGAAGACAAATTTTGACGTATATCCTGACTCATATGCAAGGGTGAGAAAAATGGAAACAGGTGTAAACACGGAATAAAAGTACATCATTGCGTTCAGCAGCCGCTACCGGGCCACCCGCGGATGCATATCGCGCTTCGTCGGGTGCTTGTCCGAACATCCGCGGGTGTCGTTAGATCGCTCATCGGCGCATCCACGGGTAACTCTCAGCCGCTTAGCGTGCGTTTATTCTACCACCGCGGCATGGATGAAACGTCAGCGGGGCCCTTCCGCGGGTGGTCACAATAATTGTCTGAGTTCAACGATGAAAACCAGATAAACGACATCTGCTGGAAGCAGAGGATGAAGATCCATGGCAGCATTCTTGTGGACACACTGTATAAAAATGTAATAGCACTCCCAACCAGGGTTGAGAGTGGGGTCAGGCGTGCCCGGCCTATGACCGTGTTGGGGATAACACAAGAGGAGGAGGGCGGGGAGGGGAGGGGGGGGGGGAATCGAGTCAAGGAACTTGTTTGAAAAATCTATAAAATACTACGATTGAGTAAGTTGAAAAAGAAAGGCGCTAGATCGATTTATTCACATCTTCACCACTAAAGGAATCACTGTCGTGAACAACATACTGATTAATCCACGATGCTGTGCAGGAGCCAAAGGCCTGCCGCCTGTAGCCGTAGGAGACAATTAAAAGCGAGAGCGCTGTGAAGAAGATTTTGGCGAGGATCCAGAAAAACTGGCGTGGACATTCATTAAGGGCCGGGCATACATCACGCGATTTCATCGCCTCGCGATTCTTCCGGCAAGACAACTGTTACGAGTCCATTGCATGCTGATCATTATGCCATTCGGTTGTGATAGTTTTCCGACGCGACTAATCGCTGACCATTTTTTCCCCAGACATACTTCCTTCACTGGAATCGTCGCGATTTGCCCGAATCTCAACGATATCGCCTCGCTGACTTCAAACAAGCGACGCGACCTAATCGCTGAAATTGGGCTTCTTTTCTGAACGTTTTTATGATCGTTTCATAGCTTTTTGGGCCTTTTTCTTGTTTACTATTTCAAAAATAGTTCTGTTTTGTCAGAGTGCGTTGCTTCTCCGTAAATCGATCTCTTAAACCCGTTTCGGCGCTATCCGTGACCCAAAATTTCAAAGTCGTGAATTTTGCTTAGACTCGGTCTAGGGGGTTATTCGACCCGCTGGTGCCGAATATCATGTTTATTTTGCGCGGTGGCGCCATCCGGTGGAGATACGGTGCGATTACGGGAGGTCAAAATCCGAATTTGCCCGAAATTTCGTTTAGAGGGGTTATTTAGCATGCCGTATACGAATGTGATGTTTGTTTCGTCGCCAGCGCCAACCGGTAAAATTACGGTAGACTTTCGGGCAAATTCGTGTTTAGCCCCTAACGTAATCCTACCGTAACTCCACCGGATAACACTACCGCACGAAATAAACATCATATTCGTGGTCAGCATGCTAAATAACCCCCCTAAAGTTTCGGGCAAATCCGTAATTTTGACCCCCCTACAGTAATCACACCGTAAACTCCACCAAATGGTGCGGTAGCGCGAAATAAATATCAGATTCGCGTTCAGCATACCAAATTACCTCCTTAGACGAAGTTTTAGCGAAATGCAGGATTTTCATGTTTTGGGTCATCAACTAATGTGGACTAGTACCGAATAATTCCCTTGAACTGAGTTTGAGAAAAATGCGGAAACAGTGGGGCCCAGATACTGGAATAGAGTAAAATTTCAATGTGATCCTGAGGTTGGAATTGATACTGTACTACAAAGTGAAAATTTCAATGTGATCCTGAGGTTGGGATTGATATTTCACTACAAAGTGAAAATACAAATGAAAAAATCAAGCCGGCCGGAAGTATGCCCATGAACAATCAACTAGCGATTTAGTCGCCGCGATTTCATTACTACTTGCAGCAAATCGCGACGACCGTGAATCGCGGCGATGAAATCGCGTGAAGTATGCCCGGCCCTTTAGAGACAAACATTTATAACTCTTCTTGAAATTAAGTTATCTAAGTTAGTTACTAAGACTATCTAAGATATGAAGGACAGATATTGAATCAGTATTGGAATGGCATTTTTCAGTAATACGCCTAACGGATAGATAAACAAGTCTGTCTCGCTACTCGGGTTCTATTCCTACCAAAAACTGAGCCGTCAAAATTCGCCATCAAATGCTAAATGCTGAAGAATTTTAAGATCAGTGTTGTGTGAAAGATTTTAAGTGATTTTTAGTGACTTTTCTGGATTTAGAGTTGAAAGTAGGGAGCGATAACCAGGAAGTAAAGCTAGCAAAGTTGCATGAGATGAAGTTTTGTTATTGTGTACAGCCTCGGAAGGATTAAAGACATATTTTCAATGGCGAGTCGTATGAAATCTCTAGTGTCAAAATTTAGGAATTAGAATAGGAAGTTATGACACAAACTGCACAAACTACATTTTGACTCAAGCCTCCAGATGTGTTTATGACATTTCAATTGCTTTGGTTCATTGACTCAAAAGCCAAACTATTCCTTTGTTAAAGAAAAAAGAACGAATTTTGAATGAAATTTCCGGTTTTCAACAATTTGAAACTTCAAAATTTACAAAACAAGAAGTTTTTACAAGCAAGTTGGCTTTCATACAGTCGAGTAGATTTTCCGCTTAATAAGTGTGCTTGCACAGAAGGTGAAACTCGGTGAAACTTGCGCATGAATAGGTAGCTGCGCCAGCAATGTCGGCATTTCGCGCGCGCAATTGGCCGGCGTCGCAGTCGAAGCTAATTCCTCAGGCGCAAATTTTACCGAGTTTCACCTTCTGTGCAAGCACACTATATTAAGCGGAAAATCTACTCGACTGTAACTACGATTCCCAATTTTCACTTACTTTTAGGCTCAGTGAATATGCCTTCCAATCTGCATTACAAATTTTTCTTCTGAATTTTCAAAATCATCTACACGAAGTTATGAAGATTTGTTCTTAAAGAATGTCATTGCCAAGTTTTCCTGAATCCTTGGCAAAATATTCTCCACAGCGCTCGCGCTCTTAAATATTCCGCGGATACAGGCGGCAGCCTTTTGGTTCCTCCCGCACCACCACCATAAATCCACTAACGAAGTCTCAGCCAAATTTCGATCCTTTACCTTACACATAGCGTAAGGTCACCAAAGAAGCTTACTGTGTAGCTGGGGTATGATTTCCGTAATAAGCATGTCAAATTAACTTTGCGAGCTCTACGAACCGTTAACAATTACATTTTCTAGTGTTTCAATATCTAACAAACATAATTAACTTGGTCACAAAGATGAAAGAAGTTAGCTTTTTCATACTCTCGACAAAGTAGTACTCCCTATCAGTTTATGCTAAACTGGACTTCATATCGCTTTCAAGTAGTGGATTAAGAAGTGCTCTCAAACTTTCAATCATGGCGTTTTCCATCTTGAATGCTTCAGCTCCACCGATCATCACAAACCCGAAACAAGTTGTGGTAAGCTCAAGCATCTATTCTCGAATCGTCGAGGTTTAAGCTAGCGAATCACATAAAAGTGTTCGAGAAAGTTTTTTCATTGAATGCTTGATTATATTTTTATCCAAATGTTCAAGCTGAGAGCACCGAAAAATATGGGAATTTTACCGTTGGTTCTGTTCAAAGCAACTGTTCCTTTTTCGTGATCTTGACTATCAGATTATCAATAGAGGAACTTCTCATGTCAGATGATCACAAAGGACTCAGTTTAGAAAAGGTAGCTGATGTTCTTGAGAAAATTCTTCATGGTTTCGTTTCAGTTCACTAAAGCTAATTAGGAGCGAACTTTGCCACCATGTTAGTGTGAAATAGTTAGAACTTTATTCCTATGAAACTTAACACTGATTTGTGATCAAAACTACAAACAAGTGGAACAATAAAAGCAAAATAACTGAAGCGATAAGTATGAAAACTCCAAAAAATGGTAAATCTTGTCCTGTGTAGTCAATCCAAGTAGTAATCTTTAGTAGACAGTTCCCATACGATGCCCTTTCCCTGGATAGCAACGATCGAGACAAGCTTGTGTGAAACAGCATACCTAAAAATGATATTTTTATAAAAATAAAAAATATCTACTTTGAAGAATTTTCTCCTTCTACATGAGAAAAATAATCAATAAATTATCATTCTTATTATGATAGATTGGTGTGTAAACAACTTCATTTGAAGAGGTGATTGAGGATGACCACTTTTTGGAAAATTTCAAAGTTTGAAGTTCCAATAAAGCCTGAAAATTTCGAAAAATTTTCAAAGTCATAACTGACTCCAGGGCCCTTTGTTTTGAAGAAAAATTGGTTTTGTTTACCTTAACAACAAAAACGACACAATAAAAGTAGAAAAATTTCCTTCCAAAAAAATGCTTAAGCCATACTCCCAACAAATTGCGACTAAACTGAATTATTTCGGGAATTTGAAAATGATTCGGATTACTTGCAAATAACAAACAAAAAAGCAATTCACTACCCTTTTATGTTTCATAGGTAGCTTTATGAAATTTCGAGACTCCCACCCCCCCCCCTCCGTCCGTCACTGGTATAAATAAATGCGATGATTATATAAGCTACTAGCTGGTGGCCCCGGTCTTACCCGAGACTTCAAGTTAGTTAAGCCAAAAGAGCTTGTAAACTTACGCTTCTAGATTTCTTCTAACATGCGCATAAAGCGCTTTCAGACTAATTGCCGCACCCTACCAACTTTAAGACTGAAATGGACTTTACTGCCCCTGCTTACATGCTTATATGTAAAAATGATCGGTTGCCATGATGGCCCTTCATTTTCTTAGGTTTGAGTAAACAAATCAAAAAATCACTAGAATGGCCCGGCGAATTGCCGCGGAAAGTAGCTGTAAACCACCGCCGCGGTCGAAAATATACGTGTGCGAAGTTTCAGCCGGATCGGTTCAGTGGCGCGCGTTTCTATAACGAACGAACAATTAAACGAACATCTTCACAGACATTGAGTTTTATATATATATAGACTAGTGAACCAGTAAATAAACGTGCTACATTGCATTTGCGCGCTTCGGGACCGCACCGCAGTTTCCCGCTATTTGCCGATTTTTGAATTGAATTGACGATTCTTTATATATTAGATCTTACTGTGGTAGTACTGTGTGGCCACAGTACCTATACGGTACTAAAGCTTGAAAAAATGCAGTTGTGGGCAACGAACCTTATCCTTGGGGAATTCCATTGAGCTACAACCTCCTGGGCGTGAACAGCATGAAGATTCGAATGACTTTGCTGAATCCTAATTATCTCTACTAATCAGACACAGATAGTTGTAAACGCTACCATTTTTGGTCAGACATGGCTCCGTTTCACCAGGAAATTTGCAAAACAGGTTGACATTCTTCTGGAACTTGTCGCAGGAGGAGACGAAGGTTGCTACCACAAAAAGAATTAGGACAAGCAGGGTTGATCTCATGCCTGGAATATCGTCTGTATTTGCAGTTACAACAGCGTTTTTGATAAATGTGAATAGTAAGGAATTACTGAATCACAGGCTTTATCGAGTAGAAATGAAAACTAAGAAAATGCGGTCGCCGGGAGGTGCGTGCGTGTCGAGCGCGGCCGCGCCATCGTCACGATTTTTCGAATGCCCTATAGATAGAGATTCAAAAATCTGGAAATGATTTGATTTCTATAATATGCGGGCACTATCCATATATCGCAGACTGACGGGTGGATAGATTCGGAAAAAACCCAAAAGTTATACTGCGTTTGTCATCTTATATATAAAGCTGAATGTCTGTTTGTCTGTCTGTCTGTCTGTATGTCTGTCTGTCTGTATGTGTGTACGTATGTTCCGAATAGAAAATTTCATTTCTGAACCGATCGGGACCAAACTTGGAACACATGCACTTCGGGCCCCGTCGGGTGTCATAGGCTACTTTTCGTATCGATCGATATCGATTTTATCGATTTTTTGCAAAATTTGAGCTACGGGGCTGGGAGTTAGCACAGGGGGGTAAGTGAGCATGGGGATTCCGAATACAATATTAGTTTTCAAAATCGTGAATTACTTTTATCGATTTTATCGATTTTTTTGCAAAGTTTGAGCTACGGGGCTGGGATTTGGCACAGGGGGGGGGGGGTAATCGAGCATGCTGATCACCCCCGTGGGGGTGATCAGCATGCTCGATTACACCCTTCTGCCAACTCCCAGCCCCGTAGCTCAAACTTTGCAAAAAAATCGATAAAATCGATAAAAGTAATTCACGATTTTGAAAACTAATATTGTATTCGTAATCAGCATGCTCGATTACACCCCTCTGCCAGCTCCCAGCCCCGTAGCTCAAATTTTGCAAAAAATCGATAAAATCGACATCGATCGATAACGAAAAGTGGACTGTGACACCCGCCGGGGCCCGAAGGGTATGTGTGCCAAGTTTGGTCCGGATCGGTTAAGAAATGGAATTTTCTATTGGGAACATACGGCGGAGCCGGGTAAGCCAGCTAGTCTCTATTATTTTGCGGAATACATCCATACAAAATTATGCCTTGATTTTGTTTCACCGAAGTGCAACACTACAGAAAGAAACTTACAATTAGAAGTAGTTTGCAGTCCACAGAAAGGGTTAGCATCACACCCCCCCCCCTCTTTTGTAGTGAAATAACTTTGCACATGAAGGGCTAAAGACGAATCAGCAGTGCTGTGAAGCGGTGAAGTTGGATCAAAAAATAACCTGTAAAATTTCGAAATTGCTCTATAAGAGCTCTTGACAATCAATCAGTGCTTATTTTCTTGCAGCCATATGAAAACTACAAAAATCTGAAGCTGCAAGTTCCTCGCTCTTTGCGAGAGTAAGCGAATTTCAGAAATAATATTTACTCATTATAATACTTCTTTGAATTTTAACTAAATTTTCTCAGCTCATTCACCCAGAATTTTCATCTTTTTTTGAGTCGTGCCAAACATGCAGGTAAAAGTTGTTCTTATAAAAGCACGCCGGAATGTTTGCTGATAGTTTTTCGATAACGCATCGGCAGGTGGTGGATCCATGGTGTAAAACAAATTCGGCGCACTCAGACAATTCACCGGAACTTCCGCAGGACTTTGTTCACTATTACAAAAATGGAAACGTCAAGAAGGTAACTTCCGCAGAATTTTCAAGCCAGGCTGGTTGAAAACGGAAACTTCCGTAGGGTTTTTCACGAAATGCTGTAAAAATTCCGAAAACTGCCAGCGATTCCGCAGCACTTTGACTTGCCCGTACTTCCCGGGATTCAAATGTGTTGTATCTTACGATGTCGTTTCGCTAACAATTAAACGCATTGTTGAGCATGTCATTCGTAGTGGAGAGGAATAGTGACTGGGGTTTGGTGGTCAGTAGGGCAATGTTTCGCTTGGTTGTCCTATTTGCTGTTGTGGTTCGCACTCTTCGGAACTTCCGCATTACGTTGACGGAACTTCTGGAGGTGACCTGGTGGAACTTTCCCAAACGTTCTGCGGAAGTTCCAGTGAGTTGTCTGAGAAAGATGTACAATCTTCCAAAATCATTTTTGTAAACTTTTAAAAGGTGCGTCCACGTGAGCAATAAGTGTAGATACAAAAAATGTAGATAGTTGCATAGTTGGAAATGTTGTTGTAATCACCTCAAATTCTCCTTCCATCTTCAGAAGAAAAGGTCTTTTATTTCTACTTGCTAGGTTACTCCAAGACTGACAATCTTTTGACTAACGGCACAGCTTTGAGGAGCCCGCAAATCAAGTTGGAAGTTATAAAAAGTATGAGGTGCATACATTTCGAATGAATACACACATTAGAAATAGTTTTAGGTTGAACAAACTAAGAAAGCAGAATTAGCCAGAGCAACGGCAATATCACTCCTTCGTCTGTTGCAAGTGGAAGAACAGCTGACTTGGTGGTGCGGTGATTGATCAGCGCTTGATATTGTTTGATCACTAAATCCAAGTTCAATTCCCTCTAATAATGAGTTAACTCGTAGTCAGTATTTCTCTTGCGACTTTAGATTGAGGTTTTTCTTCCTCAATTTCTCACCCGATTTTTTTGAGCTAGATCTCCCTTGAATTTGGTCACTAAGCACGTCTTGCTCTAGTCACATATAGTGCAAGCATAACGTCATTTTGGTGGAGAAAGACCTGCGCCAAGACCATTGGGAGGATTGAGATTGTACGGTAGTCCAAGAATTACGCGATTGCACATATGATCGCAGCTGAGTTTTTCGCACGGCTGAAGCTCGCAAGTTTTACTTTTTTGCACTTTCTTTCTTATTTCTGCCTGAACTTGTCTTTTGTAAGTTTTTTCTCGAACACATATCAAATTCCGCGGTTTTTATCTTTTGGGCCGGCCATACTATTCCTGTTTTTCCTGCAATTCCTATGATTCCTGCTCGCTAACAGTGTGTAATGCAAAAAAAAAAACACTGTGTGCTGGAATTCGCAAAGCGCTCCGTAGTGCGGCACGTCGAAAGTCGAGGAATCACGGGAATTGCGGGAATCGCAGAAATCACCTCCTAGAATAGTATCTGGAATACAGTCCCCTTGCTTTCAACCTTGTCGAAACATTGTATGGGCTTATTTTCAGATTTTCGTTGTAGTCAGACATGGCCACGAAGGCTGTAGCACGTGTTAGAAAGAAGGACATCGTAAAAGTAGTGCACAGTGCGCTTTTAAGGACAAATATCAGGTATTATCGCCCTCGTATCCTTACTTCTCCTTCCCCCATTGGTTTTGCTTTTGAGGGCACAGATGGCTTCGGCAGCTCCTCCGCTAGGGCCACAACTTGGTCAGCGTGGTGTGAATGTAGCTAACTTCTGCAAAGAATTTAACAAAGAAACTGCACATATCAAACCAGGTTGGGAACATCAAATACATTCGTTTAAATCACATAGCATTATTTTCAGTTTCTTCATGCGCTTTCCTCCCTTGAATGTCGCATTATTGTTACCTTATTTTTATTCAAAAATCTCTTTACTTATTGGTTCGTAATCCCTTAATTATTTATTCTTACGTTCTACATTCGTTCGTTTTATTCTTACATTATACATTATCTGAGTGAAAATCAAAAGTCGTTGTCATAAAGACTTGAGCTAATGTTCTGACATCGATGAAGATGCTATAAAGTCTCTTTAGCAGGGCGGATGTAAATCAAGACTGTCGTTCTATTTTTGAATCCTTTGTTTTAGTATAGTTCTCCTACTCCAAGAGTGTTGCTGCTTTCCAGCTTTACCTCTTATGAAGATGAGTCGTCACTTTATAGGTGTTGTCTTGCCAACTCGTGTGACAGTAAAACCCGATCGAACCTACTCATTGGAGATTTGCTCACCAACAACGTCATGGCTACTGAAGCAAGCTGCTGGAATAGCTAGAGGGAAGGCCAACAAAGGTACTACTCTCTACATATTTCATTTTCTTTTTCAAGCAAAGTGATCTCAAATTTTCATTGGAATTGTTTTTTATTCATGTATAATATCTTGTTGTTTGGCTTTTCCAGATGAGATTGCTGGCAAGCTTTCTGTGAAACATATATACGAGATTGCGAAAGTGAAATCCAAGGACAAGACTCTGGTGGGAGTACCTTTGCAGGTATATCTAGCTTTCTTCTTACCATCTTTTACCCTTTTCCGCTTTTGTCATCACCAATGTCATCACCGTTTTTACTTGTGGGCAGCATCCAAGCGGATCTGGGTATTAGGTTTTCACCTGGAAATCGATTGAGAGGTCTGAAACTCCAATGTAACATTGAGTCATCGCCGAGGTGGCAATTTAAGTGATTATTTTGTGTCTGTCAGCGTTAAAGGTAGTGCGACAAAATGGACCCTGTCAGATTTTTATAGTGCTAGGTGGAGGACTCCCCCCCCCCTCCAAGTACACCGCAGCCCCAACCTCACCTCCCCCTCCCCTCCCCAAATTCATGCGCTAAGTCCTGAAAAGACTTCTAAACTCCACCAGCTTCGCCCATTTCCATTGAGTGGGCGTCATGATGGACTTTTGAAAAGCGTTTTCAGGACTTAGCGCATGAATGAGTGGGTGCGATTGGAGCTACGATGTAGTTGCAGATGTACTACCTAACACTGCCAGAATTTGATAAGGGTTCATTTTGCCGACCCGCTGCCTTCAAGGTATCACCCAGTACCGTACTCTTTCGGAGTAGACCAGTTCTTGAGTACGGTACCGGGCAAGAGTCTGTATTTGTGTTGCTTGCCCATGAAATGAGCGCTTGGTCAGTGACTTAATCTTAGGGTCTCTCAATCAGTAATTCATAATATCCACAGGTGCCGGCTGTCTTATCAGTCATGTACTAAATGAAGTTTCTCGAGAATCTGTATTCTGTTTGGACGTAAACTTCCACTGGAAAATGACTGGTTCCATCTTGATACCTCCAATCTCCAAACAGTAAAGCCACATAACAATAGTTCATCACACCAAAATTTTAGTGGTTATTTTAGGAAATCTGCCGCAATATAATAAAGCAGTGTCGCACATTAGGAATTCAAGTACAAAGAGAAGATTTGGATCCTGTTGAGCTGAAGGCATTCCTTGATAAAAGGCGGGAAATTGTTGCAGAACAGCTGAAAGCATTAGCAGATAAGAAAGCAGCAAAAATGTTGAGAACCACGTAAGGTGAGATCCTCAGAGGTTCTTTGATGATAATCGCAGACCTAATCTCTTTACTATGTACAGTTTTTTCTGTTGTAGGAAGCTATGATGAGGATTACCTTTTGTTGTGTGGTTACTTGATGTAGATAATTGTTTCAAGATTTGTTCTAAGGAGTGCCTCCTTTTTATATGAGTGCTCGCTCTGTTGAATACTTTGTTATGGATTGTTTTTTTTTTCAAGATAGATAGGCTAGGATAGTAGAGATTTATGTGTATGTTAGTGTTAGAGTTAGAGCGAGTATCCAGGCAGATTTCCACTTGCTTTCGCCTCTTTCTCTCCAGAGTTTTGTATGGTTTGGAGTAGTCACACAAGGCTCTGATTGTGTCTTATTTCATAGTCAGAACCCTCACCTGCCTGGATGCAGCCCTCACAATTATTGTAAGGAACTTTATCTCGAATAGCGGTAATAATAATTGAATCTTTATAAACATACACAACTCTCATTTCGTACTCCTAAAACTAACTAATTGATCGTATCCAAGAACAACACTTTTTAATGGTAATGTAGTATAGACGCACAACTACCCGGTTTCAGTCGATTGATTTAGAGGACGAATGAGTGATTTTGCGAAATATAGAACTGTCCATATTGTCGTTAAACCACCTATCTTAATCTACTAGGAAGTCCAGCAATTATGGTGATATTCCACCTTGCTTACCGTAGCCTTACAGTAATGCTGCATCCGCAACCTGAGCAAAGTTGCTATGTGGTGTGACAATAGGCACTCTCAACAGGGGCGGTGATTATGAATCTCCTGATCAAGAAGGGACTCCAAGTTAGGTGCTTGCCCAATCAGGCGAGAGCGGTAGCGGACGCAGACCATGATAGGGCTCTTGTCCTATCGGGAATTTATTTGCAGAGAAGAGCGCTAACGCCAGCAACGGGCTAGCGCATATCAAAAAAAGCCTGCTGGTTTGGACCTCATACCTTGCGAATGTATGGAAAGTCAATATTTCATTTCCGCTCTTCCCACTTCGTTCAAAGAAGTCATAATCCTGGCATCATTATGTTTAGTGATTTTGTCATCAGAAATTGACTGTTTAGCGCGTTTTTTTTTTGGAATAGTGCAAAAGGACCATGTTCAAAAATGAGTCACCCAGCGGACTTCGCCATAATGGCGGCGCATAGCACCAAAATTTATCGCAGCAGAGTAATATGAAGTGTTTACAGATCCACATTAAGTTCGGAAATCCAACAGCACCTGAACTTAACATGTCGGTGGCGTTGCTCGATCAGGCGATGGAAACGAAGATTTACATTTGTGCGTCATCGCCTGATCGGGCGTTCATTTGACGCGATAAAAAGCGGATCCACTGAGACTGAATAAGGACAGATGCCGAGATTTCTGATAAGGTTTTTATGCTTTTTTTATCTTTATTCAGTAAGATGGTTTGGTGCGAGGTGAGCAAAAGTCAAAAATAATAATGACTTGTTTATTGACTGTGGAAAAACCCCGTAAGTTTGCCCAAAAGGCTACATAATGATGTCGGCGAATACAACTAGATCTCTCACATGACGCGTTGATCCTTGAGGATTGGATTTTCTTGAAGACAATCGACGTCGGGAGGATTTAAAGGTGTTACTTCTCAGTGACGGTTCTTCAATGGTTGTCTCCTTCTTCAATGACTGATTGGGTCCGTGCCGATTATTTGAAGGGCTATAAGTTGTCAATTATCTGAAGACATATGAATCAGTCTTTATATTAATTCTGCAGTTACGGAGGTTTGGGAGCAGATGTCGAAAATAATTTGGTGTTCTAACTAAGTTTCATCTTTGCATTTGTGCACCGTCTCAGTGAAGTAAGATAATTTAGAGGGAAAGGAATCGCAAAAATGCTTTAGATTCTGTCCAGGGTCTGGCAGTTGAAATCCATTTGATATAAGAACTTACCTACTGGGTTTCCGTGTCCGTTTTACGGTCCGTACCTGCTTTCCTGGAGCTAGAGACGATGTTCGTCGAGAGAGCGAAGACCTACGGGGTGACAGTGAAACAGGAGAGATTTGGAATGCTGAGATGAGGCGACGACGACTCGTCAAACGTCGCGAAAATCCACAGGATCGCAGACGTTCGGGTAGCATGCCAATGTTGCAAGCACTGAAAATCACCCATTCATTTCATTGATTAATTAATTAACCAATTAATTAATCAATTAATTCCATCGATTGATTGATCGATTCATTTTATTCATTCATTCATTCATTCCATCGATTGATTCATTCATCCATTCATTCACTCATTCATCTGAACGAAAGCCCAATTCTAGGCAAGGCGGATGGCCCCACAAGTTATTAATAATAAATTTTTGCGCTCGAAACGCAAAGCACTCGGACCGTCAGACACGCGCCGCGTCCGCTTAGCTCACGACATCCGCCTTCGCCTAGGACCAGACTGGCCGTCGTCTAGTTTTCAACAAACCTGCAAGATTGCCTGCAGTTTTCCCACATGTACGCTGGATTTATGCTGCACTGATTTTGTGCCGCCCATTGTCGACACGATTGATTTCCATCATTACATACTAAAGTACCAGCAGTAAATTCGCCTTTGTGCTCATCTATAAGTTACCTTGTGTATTCCAAATGCTTCCAAATGGTGAGCCGGTGCAAACGAGGCACGCAGCTTGACAATACAACGCCATGTAATCACGAAAGTCGGATGTAGTGCAATATCCACGGCTTGCCCATGCGATACAGCAATAATGTTGGTTTATGCAAGCTAAATAAAATTGATCAGGAATTTAGCAGTGATCTGTTTTGAGAATTCAGAATACACCAGAACAGCGTGTTCAAACTTACTAGTATTTAGTTGTGGGGTTATCGGTGATGTTGTGGTTGACGTAGACGTAGTAGAAGTAGTGGTAGTTGTTACGGTCGAAGATGTAGTCCCTAAAAGTGCACGTCATAGCATGAGCGAGCAAGTAAGGGATCGTTCAGACCGCGCACAAAGGCGCATGAAGGCGCACGAAGGCGCGTCTCGTCTCGTTTCCCTCGACACACACACACACTCTCACATGCGCCTTCGTGCGCCTTCATGCGCTTTCATGCGCCTTTGTGCGGTTTGTGCGCGGTCTGAACGATCCCTAAGAGATCTGCAATTCGAAGCGCGGTGGGTTAGCTGACCCCGACGCGGAGACAATAACCGACTGATTTATAGTTGATTCGTTGACCGCACGGACTGGAGACATCACTGCGGAGCACGCGCCGCGAGGTGAAACGCTTGTCCCAGTACAAATTTGTACAAGTCGTCTCTCTTGACAATTCAGCCGCGCCACGCGTGGTCCGCAGCGTTTACGCAGTCCGTGCGGTCAACGATCGACGATACGTGTACAGCAATGGCATATCGAGAAGCAGGATAAGTTTTATGGCTATTTTGTTTCTGTAAATCAGATTAATTCAATAAATCTCATATAAACTTGAATATTTTCTCTTTTGTTACACTAACATGTTCTCCTTCCTTGAAGGCAATGGATCGGCAAAACCCAACAACTCAGGATCTTAAAGGCAGTGGCTCGGCAAATCTCAATAGCAAAATTTGCGCTCATCTGGGGTTATCCATTACGTTGATCCCGAAAATCCACTTTTGAAAGCCTGAAACCGGCGAAAACAAGCGTTTTTTGATGCCATTCCCTTTGGAATTGGACGAGTGGAGCAAGGCCGACGACGCTAAATCGTTGCAGGACCCAATGGTTATAGCGTTGCGGCGGGCAGCCTCCAATGGTGGGAAGGAAACTGCCAACTCGTCCAGATGCGTGTAAGATTGGCCTGCGCGTGTAAGTTTGAGAGCGATTTTCACGGCATGGAAAGCATGCTGTGCAACCGGGATTGCACTAATACTTGGGCGATAAGGACCCTACCGCGCTTGTTAAATTTTGCCGACCCACTGCCTCTAAAGCGATAGGTTCCTTATCGCCCAAGTATGAAAACAGTGCAATCCTGGTTGCACAGCATGTCTTCCCTGCCAAGGAAATGGCTCTCAAACTTACACGCGCAGGCCAATTTTACACGCTCCTGGACGAGTTGGCAATTTCCTCCTCACATTGGAGGATGCCCGCCGCAATGCTATAACCATTAACCATTGGGTCCGGCAACGATCTAGTACAGCCTTGCGCCACTCGTCCGATTGCGAAGGAAAGGGAAATACGCTGAATACATTGAAATACGCTCGTTTTCGCCGTTTTCGAGCTCTCTAAGTGGATTTTCGTAATCAGCGCATTGAATAACCCCAGTTAAGCGAAAATTTGACTAGGTTGAGATTTGCCAAGCCACTGCCTTTATCCTTGGCATGATATCGTTTGCTCGCTTTCTTACAGTGGGCGGGGCATTTGCGGACTGCCGCCGGCGTCGCGTCTTAGTGGCTGGCGGCGGTTATTGATTTGCCGGCGGCAGTCCGCAAATGCCCCGCCTACTCTAGCGAAAGCGAACAAACGATATGTGAGTGTTGTGCTTTTATCTAGCAGGTTGGAAATGGAATACTTACTAAAAATAATCTCTGGGTTACGTGTCCCAGTCCACCACCTTTATGCTCAACCATGAAGTACTTATTGGCCGTCCGCGCAGGGCGCGGAGAGTGTCCAAGGTATGTAGTGCGCGTCACTCCTCTTTTCTCGTGCACTCGAGCCGAGTGTCCTCTCTGCGCCTCCTCTAGTCATGAACTGCCTTTAACGGACGCAACAGCGTTGCTCTCCGAGCGCGGCGCGGACGGCCTATACACGTATTTCTAACCAACCATGTATACTTCAATACATCGTTGGTTAAAAATTATTAATCACAGTGGATGATGATGCATAAGTATCGGGCTGACTAAGGCCCCGGGCAGACTTCACGCGATTTGATCGTCGCGACTGAATCGCGAGGAGACAACTGTTACAGCATCATTCCATGCTGATCAACTTGCATTCGGTTGTGTTACTTTTCCAGACCGAAATTTTTGAATGTAAAATGAAAATGAATGGGAAACTTGGCGATTCAGTCGCGACGATCAAATCGCGTGAAGTCTGCCCGGGGCCTAAAGCATTAAAGCTATATATAATAGCTAGTGAGTGATGGTCAACTTTTAATGCTATAGTCTCATTGTGTGCTATGGAAGTGAGGTATTGACCCGTAGTAAACTCATTCAATCTCAACTGAATAAAATTTCAGTTGAGTTGCGAGTCAGCTTGTCCTCAGTCGAGCCACTGATTGATGTCAACCACCCACGATATTGTGATTGAGAAGGCCGCGTCTATGCAAGTATATGAGTCAAGACGCGTGCGCCAAACATTCACATCTAAGTGACTGGTATTAGCGGCGGAGATGTGGTCTTGTTAGATCTTGTTAAGTATCGTCAGCCTGCACTGTGGCTTCTCAGTCAGTATTTCTTCAACATGTTAAACTGACGTATATAAGTTACTCAGGAGTAACTCACGGGAAGTTTCTCTGCTTGCCATAATTAATGCACTATTCAAATCAATTCGTCGTCTAACTGAATGTGAACTAATTTGAGTAAGGTAGACGACCTCGTCAGCTAAACGGACGGTCAACCGAGATTTCATTTCGCATTCGTATAGCATGGAAGGGGGCGGTGATCACTTCATCTCAAGTAATCTCGGATGAGGGCTTTAGTTAAGTTCACCTGAACTGAATTAGCTTTACTACGAGCCGTTATCAGACTGGCTTCATCTGACGGTTGTATTGGAATTTTCCAATAAAGTAATGGTTTCGTATCTACTGTCTAGATTAAGTGTTTAGTCATTGAATTAGGAGTACCCATAAATAAATGAATAAAAATGGTAAATGTTTAGCGGTACGCCGTCTCCAATAGTCTGAAGGTAATTTAGTAGTCTTAAACAAACACTCTTGACCATCAAACGCTTCTCCACTTTTATACGGCTGTCCTGTGTACTGAAATTTCAAGTTCACATCGACTTATTCGTGTTCCAAGAGAGCATAGCGGAAATGCGAGAAAGCATTTGCTAACACTTCTGTGCTAGTGATAGTGATAATTACAAGCTGTTTGAAAAATTTGGACAGACTTATAGCAGTACGATTATGGCTTAAATTGTGATGAAAAGGACTTTCAATCATTTGTGATGGAGTCTCGTTTTTGTTGTTATCAAATTCAAGAAGCAACCCAAACAGTCTTTGAGGATATAAAGGCGCCCACCTTCTAGGAATGTTCCCCGCTCCCGTCCCCGTCCAGAATGAGTGTGGAATTGCCAGTTAATTAGGCTTCTTATAGTACAGTCGAGTAGAATTTCCGCTCAATATGGTGTGCTTGCACCATAGGTGAAATGCGGTAATTTACGCGCGAAGAACTAGCTAGTACGTCTGTGACGCCTTCTACTTGCGCGCGCAGAATGCCGACATTTTTGGCGTGGCTTATTTTTTACGCACAAATTTTACCGCATTTTACCTACAGTGCAAGCACACTATATTAAGCGGAAAATCTACTCGACTGTACCTATGCACAGTACCTACCTATGCAAAATTAATGCAGCTTTTTTAATGCTTGACTATGCCTTGAGGCTCAGAGCTAGCAAAGTGTTTCCATTGTTATCAAATAGATGCTTTACCTGATGCACAAGTTTGTGCCCTTGTTTGCCCACACAGATTACATGCTAGACGGCAATTCTCCGACATCCATGAAGGATTATTACGACATTCACCCATTCTCGCCCAACCCATACATCTTGGTGTGCGATTTGAGCACTCTAAAATTAATCGTTTTTGATTTTCATTTTCTAAAGCTGCCATAAGATTGACAAAAACGTATTCACGTACCCACACTCAAGTCATAGGTTATTGGTGTACATATGGCACAGCTCGCTCTGCACCATGTATTCATGTATAGTGGGTTTCTGGAACATTCTCCACGTGCTGCCCACGGCGCGCAGCACTGCTGTTCATTGTAACAAGTCTGGAAGAAGGGAGATTGTTATTCAAGTACGTTAAGCCTCTTCTCAGAAAGTTCCCACTTGGGAATATCAAGCATTTACAGTGAGACTGCAGCGGTACCGTCATTTCAGCGCCATCACAACGCCGTGCTAGCGCCGTGCCAAAACTCGCGCCACAAGCTGCCTACTAGTGACCGACCTCCGCTGGCACCGTCCCGGCACAGCACGGAGCTGGGATCGCGCTGCCAGAACGTGTTAGCTTTGACAACTCTGGCCCTCTTACCTCCTGTCTAGGGCCTGTTGGTGCTGATGTTGTGATAATAGGTGGTTGTGTGGTTGGCATTGGCGTCTAAACAGTATTGTCAACATTTTTTTCGACAGCCGAAGCGGAACTTACTGAAATCATGGTGCAGATGTTGTTTGTGCATTGACCAAGATAGCATCGATCTTCATCTGAATTTACACTGGAATTGCAGAAGGTCAGGGCAGCATTAAAAGCTGCCCGTGCCGGAGCTGTTCCAGCGCAAGCATCGTATAAGCACCGTCGATCATGAACGCCCGTAAAAGAGCTCGGACCTGGGAGGAGTTGCAGGTGCGCTCCATCGCCATTTCGATTAGAGCACCGTTTTTTCAAGTGGGGCGCACTACCTCCTAACACTTAGCGTTTCACAAACTTTCCAAAGAGATGGAAGACTGGGAGAGGGACCATGTGCAAAATAATAGAATGTTTTGGTTCATTCCGCTTGCATGTACTTCTCCTCTTCTCAAGCTGTCAGGACATATCATCATACCCTATGGTTCTCATGATTTGGCGTTCATGCATTACTTAACAATACTTTTGCTTTGTGTTCTTCTATATATGACCTTTGTTTTGGTTCTTATTTTACTCTACTCACTAGAGTTATGCAACAACGCTTTTGGTTCAACAACGAAAAAAGGGGAGACCATCAAGAGGCGCGATTTCTCCGGCTGTCACCAACTTAAAACTCCAGTGTAGTGCTATACGAGTCTTCAAAAAAAAAACCAGATAAAGTGCATTGGATTACTATCTGTCTAAGGTTACGACTTGCTAAGTCTGGTGGCTTTTGCTGGAAAACTAACCAAAATACTTACGAATTTGTTCTCAACTGCATTTTCATGAGTTTTTGACCTTCTCAATTGCTGTTTTGAATTGAATCTAAGGTAGCAAGATTGAGCAACCCATGCAACTATCTAGTCCAGCCATAGTTAGCATTTACCCTCTATAACCTTTGCCTGAATTTACGCTTGAAACTCATTGTCAGTAACTGTCTTGAACTTCCGTTTTTGGGTTAATCTCTGCTGCTCTAACTTCTCTTTGAGTTCACACCACATGAGGATCCACTTTGTGCAGCTTTTAGAAGTATCTTAGGGCTGCTAGCGCTAAATTGGGATGGATTTAGCACTGGTGTTGTGTGCGAACTCTTTTTACGGCTCGCATGTGGCCAATCAAATTCTGGCAACAGCTGTGTTTCAGTCCTTCCTACTCATTCAAAAACATCCTTTACGGTGTTTGTCTTTTTTTTTCTTGAGACGACCTATAACTGTCTTGTAATTACATAACTTATCTCGAAAACAAATATCTTTCCTGAGATCTGCTGGCAAACTTGTTAGATCGACGTCTTTGAAGCAATGAGAGCTAAAAAAAATTGAATGTGTCATATTTCAATTTTGCGCTTGATAGCAATTGTCGCCTTTTCTCATGAGCTTCAAAAGCGCTGCATAGTCGTAAATCATCATTGCTAATGTTGTTCGATAAGCTTGTCGATGATGCTTAGATTGAAAATTGAAGAAAAAATGGGTGGAAAATGGCAACTTTATGCTGGTGACCTTTATAGACTGTAACGTTTTGCTAAATGGAAAAACCGGGATTTTTGCAGTTAGTGAATAGTTTTGAATGTACAAAAATTTTCCCAGCTGTCAACCTCAGGAATTCTCTAGAAACAAACAAATTTTGAAAGTTGGTGCTATACTAAGTTAACTATGAAACTTTACTTACTGGAATTGAAATTAATGAGAATTTTTTTGAGCAAGAGCTGACTAATGTGCTGAACATAGAACTTGGCCTGCTGCCATGTTCTCACTGAGCATCACTTCGGGACAAGTTCGTAGTTTTTCGTAGGACGGGTTCATAGGCACATGCCGTAGGCTGCGTTCACACTAATCCGGAAATCTGGAAACCTTGAAACTTGGAGCAGATCTTACTTATCACTGAGATCCATTGAGAGCATAGATATTGTATATATTCGAGGAAATACATGTGACAAGAGTCCAAACACATGTAGGGTCGGTCGAATATGCACAAAAAATCCAGCATGCTTGGAATTTATGTATTTCGAGCAAAACATTCTCAAGGATTTCAAATTTCTGGCGGGCTTGTGGGTTTGTGCTTCAAAATTAAGCAGCAAAATGGTCTGATGTTTCACAGAATTTTTTCTACGCATGAAATGCCCGCAAACGGGTCTTATCGTAACAAAGAATTGGCAGTTTTGATCCTTTGACATGATTTGTCCACATTTTACCTTCAAATTCCCACAAAGATGTCAAAGACTATACGTATACTCAAAAACTACCCAGATCGGCGTAGAAGTGTTTGGAGATAGTGCGCTCCAGTTGAAAAAACGGTGCTCTAATCGAAATGGCTATGGAGCGCACCTGCAACTCCTCCCAGGTCCGAGCCCTTTTACGGGCGTTTGTCGATCATCAATGTTTCGCGCCCACGTGGACTCTGACGGTGCTGGCGCGGCGCTGGAACGACGCTGGCTCAGGCTCTGACTAGGGAAGGACACTTGGTCGAAGTGGCGTTTCGTTATAAGATCTATACTGCCTTATAGCAATGGAAGCTAGTTCCAAATCTGTTTTCGATATCTCCAAAGCGCTTTTGGGAGCGGAGTTACGATAATTTTTAAGGTAAAAATGTGAGAATTTGGCTGAGGTAAAACAGGTGTTGGGGACTTTCCGCCACTCAAAAGGGGCAATGACTAGCATATGTTTACTAGACACAAGGTACTGAATTGCACTAAGTGCCCTGGCAGTAATCATGACTCCATTTGAGCTCACAGACTGCAGTTGTGAATGACTCTATTCTAGGCGCGCGTTCAATTTTTGCCTCAAAAAATTCTCATAGCTCCCCTCCCAGAAGTGTTTTGCAGATACCGAAGGCAGATCTGGAATCAGTATTCCGTACCTTACAAGACAGTATACGTCTCATACGGAAACGCCACTTCGACCGAGTATTCTTCCCTTGTGAAAAGATACAGTCGAGAATGTTTTATCAAACTGTGCGTTGCGCATTTTTCATGGGTTGGCTGATGTAGCCAGGTATGATCTTTCTGTTTTTATGGTTTTCTTTGTCTGGGCATAATTGAGTTAATGCTTGTAATTATTTTTAACCGGAATGCCTACGCAAAATTTTCAGCGTTTCGTGTATTGTGCATTTACACACATTAGCAAGAAAACTTACTCAGCTGTAGATGTACTGTACTCGCATTAGAACTGTTGAGGTACATAAAAGTATCCTTTTATAAGGTTTGTTAAGTTGAAGTTCACTTAAGTTGTATTATTATGTTTCTGCAATATATGGCCGTGACTGTGGCTTTTTCGTTATTAATTTACAGCTTTGGAATCTGTTAAGACATGAAATAAAGCTAAATCTCTGATCCGAAAAGTTTCTCGTCTCTCTGATTAAGCGCCTTTCGTTTCTCTTACCGTGTGGCTGTCTCTCCCAAGCACGAGCTATCTTGTCGGACGCAACGGCGCCTTTTCTTTGCGTGTTACGAACCGCCGATAAATGAACAATTGCTTACTATTTGTGTATCCACCACAATTTCCACCTAGGACAATTTTCGCTGCACATCGCGGTGGACCATGTGAGACGTCACAGAACAGATACCTATAAATATAGACAGGTCGTTGTACAAAAGCATAAGAAGAAATCTGCAATTTACTTCGATCCGCATCCATTCAAATTGCCAGACGAACAAGTTGGTCGCGGCGCGTACTGGTAGAGATTATCTGCAAAATGAGTAGAAAGAAGAATCCAGAATTTGCTACAGTTTCTCCAGACCTGTGTACTGATTCGATAGACCATCGCGGTTCGTCATAGGAAAAAATGGGGCCATGGTATTGTTCAGAAAATGAGCAGTACTACTGCAAGCTAAGTTATCCTGTGGATATACGGTTTCCCTTTCGGATCGTGACTGAAGTGCATGATTAATTTTTTTTCAAGCTCGCTATGACACCTCTGCAAGAATCTGGTCCCCTACAAAGGGTTTTTTGTAAAGAGATCAAATAAGCAGCTGCTGCGACATGTTATACTGTTTATACTTTCAATAATTTTTTCAATTCTACACAAAATGATTATGAGAGAAAATTTTGAATCCTTAAGAACATCAATTACTACTGGTAAGAAGTTTTGCAAAGTGAGTATGGGACCATTCGCCGTGGTACCATTTGATAAGGTCGCCTGTGCGGTCAATGACTGGTACAGACTGTATTGCTTTGAGTGCATAGTCTGTGGCAGATGTCCCTCACGTAGCCTATCGGTGGCGTTTCACCGCGCCGCGCAGCATTCCGCAGTGACGGCTAGTACGTGCGTCGCTCAACAACATGTCGAAAAATTGGCCTGAGTAGCATACCTGTTTCGTCAAGCGCCATTGTTCCCATATTAGATCAATAAAGGAATGATGGTTGAAAAATAATGGATCGTTTGCGGCGGTTGTGATAATCTGCATGTCTCCTTCAATGAACGAAAAATTATCTGCTTTATGAAAACCAACTCGAAACGAACCTCCAGTATAAACATGAGGAGCACCATGGGTATACTCCAACGCAGAAAAATCTGCTGGGAATGGGCAACTCTAGGAAGTAAGTTATAAGTGATTTCCTAACAGAATCCAGAGTTTCCCTGTGCCGGCGCTGTGCCAGTGCTGTGGCAGCACCATGACAGAACCCACGTGGACGTGCCCTATAGCGCAGGCACGACGCTGAAACGGCGTTGGCACGGGCAACTCTGCAGTCTCAGGACTGTTTTTTCTAGAAATTACTTACTTGCTGTGGTGCTGTGAAAGCTAGAATCTGTCGGAAGTCATTTGTGTTTAACAGCGCGGATACATCACTTTGTGTTAACAAATCACCAACAGCACCGATATCTCGCCTCAAAACACGAGATCCCTGTAAATTATATACACACTTTCAAGGTGAACATAAAACGCATTCTTTTTTTTTTGTTTTAAGAATCCTGGAATTCATGGATGCTACTAGACTCAAAGGCGTTTAGAATGCGTCTAGAGTTGCCCGTGCCAGCGCTGTGTTGGAACACCAATAGCACGGCGCTGGAACGTGTAGCTCTAGATGCAGCCTTAAAGTCTCTCCGACTTTAGTTAGTGTTGTGTTTGTACTTTTACGAAAGGATCATGGCTTTATACTTGCTCTCACAGAAATATATGGTCACCAGCGGAGGGGTGGGGGGGGGGAGGGGACAGGCATCCCCCCCCCCTCTGAGAAGAGGTTGCGAAATTTTTAGAAATTATTTACGGGTTATAAAAATGCGCGAGTGACTTGTTTATCCTTATAAATAAATAGAATAATTCTTTAAATATTTTAAAAATTTCCTGGGACCTCCACTGATGGTCACATCTTGAAACTAAATTCTTTTTTTATCTTCACCTATCATTTACTTGACAAGATCCACGTACATCTACAACTGTCCAATTTCTGAAAGCTCCAGTGCGAACTGTTCCATCACTGCTTTGTGTGCCCATCAACTCATTTCCCCACAGTACAGAATCTCTGGAAGATGGAAGTGTCTCATCAAGGGTAGAGTCCCAATAGGGAAGACCCAAAGTGGGATCGATTCGGCGAAGCGCTATCTCCATCCTGCAAATTACATTATAAATGCATGGTAGCAATCACTTTCAAGGTTTCTTCCTTCATATTAAGAACATGTAAAAGATCGTATATCTTATATATAAAGCTGAATGTCTGTTTGTCTGTATGTCTGTCTGTATGTATGTGTGTACGTATGTTCCGAATAGAAAATTCCATTTCTGAACCGATCCGGACCAAACTTGGCACACATACACTACGGGCCCCGGCGGGTGTCATAGGCTACTTTTCGTCATCGATCGATATCGATTTTATCGATTTTTATCGATTTTTTTGCTGAGTTCACCTACGGGGCTGGGAGTTGGCACAGGGGGGTAATCGAGCATGGGGATTCCGAATACAATATTGGTTTTCAGGATTATCGATTACTTTTATCGATTTTATCGATTTTTTTGCAAAGTTTGAGCTACGGGGCTGGGAGTTGGCACAGGGGGGTAATCGAGCATGGGGATTCCGGATACAATATTGGTTTTCAGGATTATCGATTACTTTTATCGATTTTATCGATTTTTTTGCGAAGTTTGAGCTAGGGGGCTGGGAGTTGGCACAGGGGGGTAATCGAGCATGCTGATCATCCCCAAGGGGGGTGATCAGCATGCTCGAACACCCCTGTGCCAAATTCCAGCCCCCTAGCTCAAATTTTCAAAAAATCGATAAAATCGATAAAAGTAATGGACGATCTTGAAAACTAATATTGTATTCGTAATCTGCATGCTCGATTACCCTCTGTGCAAACTCCCAGCCCCGCAGGTCAAACTTTGCAAAAAGATCGATAAAATCGATAAAAGTAATGGACGATCCTGAAAACTAATATTGTATTCGGAATCCCCATGCTCACTTCCCCCCTGTGCCAACTCCTAGCCCTGTAGGTGAACTCTGCCAAAAAATCGATAAAATCAATAAAAGCAATCGATAATTCTGAAAACTAATATTGTATTCGGAATCCCCATGCTCACTTCCCCCCTGTGCCAACTCCTAGCCCTGAAGGTGAACTCTGCCAAAAAATCGATAAAAATCGGTAAAATCGACATCGATCGATAACGAAAAGTGGACTGTGACACCCGCCGGGGCCCGAAGTGTATGTGTGCCAAGTTTGGTCCGGATACGGCGGAGCCGGGTAAGCCAGCTAGTCTACGATATAGATGAAAGTAAACTTGCATTAGCAAGTTCGTAGCAACAGGTACGGAAAATCTTTGCAAGAATTTGATCAATTTTCCGCTCTTTCTTCCATTTTCTCTTAGTTTTCTTTAGGAATAGAGAAATAAGTCAAGCATTTGGTTTTTGGGAGATTGCCAAAGTTTTTCTATGGGAACGTCGATATCTGCAAGCGGTATCGATATCCAAGTCAAATTTTTTAGACTTGAATAAAATTTATTCTGTGATTGATGGATGTTAGCTATCAAATCACTTAGGTTGACTCTGGACTTATCGTGCCAGTCTCGCGCTAGCGTCATGCCGGAACTCTGCCGAAAATCAATAATCAGCATCCACGTGAGTTCCGGCACGGCGCTGGCACTGCCCTGAACTGTGCTGACATAGCGCCTAAGCCGTCTAGTAAACTAGGCTTTGGGCGCAACCTCAACTTCTAAAAAGTTTGAAAAATCTTTTTTTTGTTTTCTATAGCGAAAATGAAATGGCTGCAGTATGATAATGTAACTCACCTTTTGATAAATTCTCTATGCCAAAGTGGAAAAGCAGGTCCAGAATGTGCTCCAGGAGATGTTGCAAACTGAGAATGTATGACAGAGATAGCATCGTAATCTCCATTTCCTTTTATGCTCCACATTGCTGTGTGATATCTGCAAAGATTTCTCAAATTTAATATCCTAAACTAATTTTCAGTATAGAATGTATATGTTGAACACGCAAGTTTTATCGCTCATGGAGACCAATTTTTTATAACGTACGTATTAATACGTATTTATTCAAACCATATCTATCAATAAAGTAAGTATTTTTCCCATTTCTGCTAATAGTTCCCGCGGCTTCTTTATGATACTTTCCAGCTGGTTACCAAATTACTCAATCTACCTTCAAGAAAACACATCATTCACAAGTGCCGGCGAACATACAGTTCGCGAAAAATCTGATCGTGGGGGTATAGCTCAGTGGTAGAGCATTTGACTGCAGATCAAGAGGTCCCCGGTTCAAATCCGGGTGCCCCCTACTCGTTTTGCGTTTACGTGAGCACATTGAAAATAAGCAAATATGTTAGGTTTAGAAGACTTTTCTTAGATTTTTCTTTGCTATTTTCAGATTTCTCAAAATTGATTTTATAGCTTAGCCATTAAAAGAATAAGGTCTCACTCGCATATTTCCTATTATGACCGAAATCAAATTGATGTTTGTCCTAAACAAATTCGTATATATATTTGTGTCATGATTTCTAGCTTTTATACATTTTTTAAACAGGTTTAAAAGGAATTAATTTAGATTGTGCATTTTATTAGCAACCAAAAAAAGTCAAATTATTGAGCAAGCAGGCAATGACGGGATCTACATTTAATGAAAAAAAAACTTCACAATTTTTTGAAAAACTAACGAACGAAACCAAAATTTGCTTACCTTTGCCTTTCATCATCCGTCATCACACGATATTCCTTACGAGTGGCTTTCGCCAATGTCTGACCATTCGGTAGCACGCAGTTGGCTCCTCCAGTCCCTAAAATCCGAACTATATTCTCAAAATTTCAAAGTTTAAGAACAGAGCAAGTATAGTGCAGGATTTTTAATTTTTATTAGATTTTCTGCTAAAAGTTGCAACAATCTTCCAGAATTTTTGTTACAATCCAACTTAGTTCTGAAAACTGTGATGTGCAAAATATTTACAAGAGTTCTGCAATTTCTCATTCACATACAAATAAAGCCGAAGAAATTTCTAAATTTATGCTTTGCAATCATAATTTTCGATATACTGAAAAACAGGCACTCTTCACAATGGAGCCGCTGTTTCAGCGAGGAAGGAAAAAAATTTGGATTTTTGAGTTAAATGAGGAGCGAAAGAAGTATCTTCACCTCTAAAATTTATGGAACTTGTTGAATGGAGAAAATAAATGGTCCATGATACATGAGCTAAAAAAAGTAGCAATGCGTATGAATTGCATTATAAATGGGTACAAAATAATTTTGCAACGCAACATGCTCAAGCTATTACCGTTTACGATTTCAGTCAGGAAATCTTTTTGTTTTGAAATTTAATTCTTTAGCCTTTTTTCGCAATAGAGTTTTCATTTAAAAAATCATAGCCGGGCATTACCTCCAAAAAATCCGCATAAGCATGCGATATCCATACAGTCATAAGCAGAAGTTGGTGTAGTTGATGTCGCTACCGATGAGATAGCTACAGGTCCAGCTAAACCAGCAAAACCCGGGGACGAGACGGTCGCTATCGAAGGTACTGCGACATTCTGTATGTAAAGTACTGTAAATAGCATTAACTATAAAATTACATGATTAGTCGTCTGATAAGTAATCTATTTCCGTTAAATTTCTATTTAAAAAACCCCTAAGTAACCCCAAATTTTCGACTTACCCTGGTTTGTGCAGCCCAATTGTTGATTTGCTGACAAGTAATTCTGAGCGAGGCACTGCGAGCATTATTGCAGGCATTTTGATTTTGAGCATTAGAGTACGATATAACATGCAGTAAAACTAGCAGATAACTCAACAGGGTTTCATCCATGAACCTCAAAAATATGACACAGGATAATGCTTCAAAGTATTCAGGCAAAGCCAATCTTTTAGCACTTACGTTCTTTGATTAAGTCAGAAGATAAAGAGCCAGCTAAGTCGCAGTAAATATCTATTATGATGAAGTTAAGCATTGAAAGTAGGTCATTTTAGGCCAAACCGAACAACCCCATAAATTTACCATGTTCTAAGCGCATGATAACTGCGTCAAGGACACATGAGTAATAATCTCCCATTACCTGAGTACATAGTAAAATGTATTGCTAACACCATAATAAAATACTGAACTTCGCAATGACGATATGTAGTGTTCTACAATGTTCTCGTTGATCTTAGTCTATTAACGCTTTACTTACACTTCATTGGGATGCTTTTCAGAGCTTTTGGGCCTAAACAACGAATGTCCGAAAGTTGGGGAGTGATGACCCTATTTCAATTTTCAGAGAGTCGTTAAAATAATTTTATACATATACCAATAATTGTAAGCTATTTGGGCTACTTTCAAAATCCGACGCACTCTTGGAGCAGGTGTTCTTAGAAAATAGTAAATAATCGAAATAAAATCCAAAAATTCTTGAAAATTTGGTGTTCGCAAAATCTCGTTTTTCCAAAATTACAGAGTCATGGGCGAAATTAGTGAAACATCTAAGAAAAAATTGTGGAAGGCTTGGTTACTAACACCATAGCTTTGCACTTAAAGAAATTTGTTTGTCTTCCTCCTTGAAAAATTTCTTGGACCACCATTGCTGTCATAAGATCGTCTTTGCCCTACTTTAGATGGCAGATTGATGTAATTACATAACAATTTAGTCAGAAGATGATTGTTCATCTGATGCAGTAAACATTCATAAAAATTCATATTTTATAGAGATATAACTTTAATGCGCTTATCAATACATAATGTATGCATCGATGTTTTCTCGGGTTTTGTAAATTTCAACCCCTCCAACGTCTTGTGCGCTCTATGAAATGTTTACAAATCCTTAGCCTTCTACTGATTTTCTTACTTTGCTTACACAGCATAAAATAATTCAATAATCTTCGGCTTTAGGCTGTGCCAATTAATCTACTTTCAAAATTCTTTTCTAGGTTCTCCCGTCACCAATAAAATTTAACAAAAAACGTTACGATAGCAAAATAGCAAGTCAGTGAGGGTACTCACATGCGAGCTGCTTCCATCCTCTTACGTGTATTGCTAACAAACTAACCAAGGCATTTTTCAACTATTTGAAGCAAATTTTTTTATGAGGTCTGCGCTCTCAGGCCTCTCTAACCAAAGTCAATCCCTTCAGCTCTTAGTTCCCGATTCATATTATCAGGAATGCCTCAAACATTGATCCCAATATCAGTGAGAGTCCGTAAATTCTACTTCGCAAAATATTTTTGCAGCTTTGATGCTGATCTTATCCAATTTCTTGCGATAGTGCATTTATTTCAATCAAATCGCACACTTTTATGCTGTCTTATAGCACTCTTATCTTTTTTTGGAGTGTCACCGATAAAAGCGTCCATGTCTGATGCTAGAATAACAAAATACAGCTGGATATAAGTTTTTATTGAGAAAATGTCAAGGGATTCTTCACAAAAACACTTTTTTCGAATGCTCCGTCATCCGACTTCTTTCCCGTAACTGAAATGTAGATGTTATGGAACGCAGTGTTATACAACAAACTTATAGCAATCAAGACTGTAGCATTTTGACAAAAATTTTGGCAGTGATAAAAATAGTGGTTATTGAACAAATCTTGCGCTGATGTAAGGGTAAATAAAGATATATAAAGATTATACTGTGATTTTCAGGACCTAAAATGAGCAGAGAGTCTATAGCACGGTTCTACAGGCCAAAGTGCTGCGAAACCTCTGGCATTTTTCGGAATTTCCGCAGGATTCTGAAGAAGGTTCTGCGAAAGTTCCGGTTTTCAACTAATTTAGCATGAAAATCCCGCGGAAGTTCCGATTTTCAAAGTTTTCATTTTTGCAATAGTGATTAAGATCCTGCGGAACTTCCGCAAATTTGGCTTGACCTGCGGAAGTTCCGGTGATTTGTCTGAGTATATCTTACACTCATGGAGAGATATATTTATTAGCAATTCGTCTTACCCCCATTACCTAGTTATTTTTGTCCTTAGAGGATTAGAAGGATTAAGTGGCATAATGGAAAATAACGAATCATAACTTCAGTTATAAAAGTGAAAAATAACGAAACATCCATAAGCAAAGAATGTAAGCAATCTCGAGATTTAGTGCATTTACTTCTATATCTCATCTTTACTCTATTTCTTGAAGTGAAATTAATAATGTGAGTTGAGAAACTAACCGTTGCACGGGGGTAATCAGTTTTGTCCCCGCCGTGGAGAAGGTGGTACCTAAAATTTAAGTAAAACTTTGAGTGACATACTCCGTTTCACTTACAGCGCTAGTCAAGCAGTGGCCGCGCATTCCTTGCTCTTCTTTCCAGCAACGGCTCCCCCTAAGTCATGTTTGTCATAGAAGAAGCAAAAAGTAAAACCTTTTTTCCCTTTTTGGCTTCACAATTTAAAAATCTTTCTATATGCTGACAGATTTGATGAAAAGCTTCACATATCCATAGTTGCCATAATCCTAACACATCCTTAAATGCCAATTCTACGAGGAAAAGCTCAAAATCAATTGTTTACAAGTTTATGACGATCGGCATTTTTCGATGGGTTTGCGAACATTTTCAAAATGCGAGCAGAAATCACATAAATCTGAAACCAGCACGAGCTTCTAAAAAGTAGAGGTGCCGCACTGACAAATTTTCACTCTTTAAGGTTTGAAATACTGACCACATCTATTTCAATGCTTTCCTCTTTCCAAAATGCCCATAATAGAAGAGGTAGAACCTGAAACTTCTCCCACCTAAAGAAAATATGCTACGGATCTTACAGCAAAAATTGCGCAAAATGCTTTGGCTTTAGAACTTACCCAAGGACTTGGCAAAGATCTTTCCCTTGTTTCCCTAAAACATTATGCTGTTGAAAATATCTCACGGAGTTACAAATTAGTCATTGTCGAAGAGCATTACGTAATGGGAACAATGAAGTAGTAAATTCTGCTTGTTTGTAAGATAGGAAAATAGATCTCAAGAATTCTGATTGTTTGTGGAGAAGCCCTATTGGAAGTGTTTGCATCAAAGCCGCTTTTTATACTGAAGTAAAGGGGAAGTGAAATAAGTTTTTCATAATTAGAGAGACGTGAAAGAGCTCTAAACACACTTACATAAATGTAAACTTCTGTCTTCGATTGAATAATGAATTGATGTTACGGCTCAATACACTAGTTATAGGCTGCTGCATGACGAAGGAGCAATATCTTTGGGCGCGAATGAGGCTTTATTAGCCGCAGAGCGCATAAGGCGCAGGATTTACAACGGTGAATATACGCGCGCGTCGCGTTCGCGCCCGCTCAACTAGTATCTCTCCTGCGCCTTCGTCATGCAGTAGCCTTCACTTTGGGACGTTTTCACGTTACGAGCAGGCCACAGTACAGATTTTTCACTAATTCGCGACCCCTTGTTTACGTTACCCACGATGTCCGACTGTGGTCGAGGGCGCTCGTGTGAAATGGGTGCAAAAGCCGTGTTGTAGCTGTAACTTTTACAATTTTTCCATTAGTTCCACAAGTAAGTGTGTTGATTTCGTAAATGATCATTCTCAAAAAAACTTCGGCTTACGACGTATAACGTACCCCATAAAAAAGATGTAAACTCCGAATCTTGGTATAAATTGATAGGGATTGGTTAACACGTTTCGGACCGGTGCTGCACATGGTGCAGCACGCGCCTTTGAAGGATCTTTTCAACGTTTACAGGAGGTTTTCTTTTTGTCCAAAGTTATCAAGTCAAAGGCCTAAGCTCCTCCTTTTCGAAAGTGTCTGTAGAGCTGTGCCATCGATTTTTGTTCACGAGATATGAGGACGAATCGAACATCGGTTGCAACGAAGTGCGGCAATGCGAACGACGCGTGCGACGTCGCAACTTTTTTTAGCTTTGAATACACAGAGAAAAACCGTAGTTCCAATAATGATGTGTGTCATGTACAACATAGATGCTTTTGGATACAATTAGAAACTGAGTTGTTGTTCCTATCTTTCAGAAAAGCACAGATGTCCTTCTCAGACGACAGAATTCAAACACTTCGAATTCACTCAGAACTCTGGGTATGGATCTTATCTGACATGGTGATTGCAGATGTACCACACAATCTACGAATTAAGGTCCCTTTGTTGGCTAAGTGCTGAAAGTACCCCCTTTTTCGCCGCGCGCGATTTCGCGGTCCGAAACGTGTTAAAGTCCTAGGTAGTCTAAAGAGATCCGAGCACAACTGTTAACTCAACCGTTCTCCCAAAGCTTTTTCTTAGTTAACAATAAGAGTCAAGCTTTCCACGTTGATTGGCCCAACTCTTATTGTTAGCTGCAAAAAAATTCGCCTAACTCTTATTGTTAACTAAGAAAAAGCTTTGGGAGAACGGTTGAGTTAACAGTTGTGCTCGGATCTCCAGATAGGTGCTTCGGCTTGAAGACGTACAGGTAATGTTTCTTCTTTCTTAAGTTTTTTTTCTTCCTCATCACTCTCCAAGTTCGTCGCACCAACAAAAGGAAATGCATCTCTGCGGCGCTTTTTGATTTTGATTTTCATGGGTCGATCCTTCGTCCAATCAATTTGCAATCGGATCTTTCGGAACCAAAATGTGAAAATTCTTCCAGTACTCGAATTCTTCCAGTACTCGAATTGTCAGCAAAAAACCTCAGCATATGGCATTGAACAGTTTCATACTGTATCTAATTGCCGATTTCTTTCTAAGAATTATGCTCAGAGACAGAATATGTTATGAAAAGTTGACCACATTTCTTCGTTAGTATCACCGTGAGTCACAAAACAATTGCAATCAAAGCAGTGAAAGGAATGAAAGTGACTAGTGCGAGCTTCTGTGAAGCAGAGATGACGCACTGGTAGACAGGACTTAGAGAAA